GAAACTTGCCCTAAATAATAACAGTAAATGATCTTCATAAAAGCCTGATTCTATTTCTATAGCAACCTAAGAGTGATTGGCATTTCTTTTAAAGACTGGGTTTGTCTCTGACCCTGAAGCAAGAGATCGATTGCTTCATTTATTTGCCAGAGATTTACTGTAAGTCTATTATGTGCCGTAATTGCAGTTTTCTCTCCATCCAGCCTTATAGACAAAAAATAAGAGATTGTATACAACAACAAGATTAGTTTTATGTTGGCTGGATCTGGCATAACCATTTCCATCTGGCATTTTTTTTTCCTTTTGCTTTTCTTTCTTTCTTTTTTTTTTTTTTTTTAAAACATTTATATTGAGTACTTTTTCTGGATTAGGTATTTTCTAATATTAATCTCCAATACAACAAGAAGGGCTTTTTCAGTGATGAAACCAAGGCTGAAAATGATGATTTGTCCAAATTTACACTCTAGTGACAACAAACACAGGTGTTTAATTTTCACAGGCCATTGTCCTCTCACCGCATGATTCTCTATTAATGGGACTCATTTAACATCAATTTCTCACGTGTTTTGTTTTGTGCAGGCCTGGGACACGAGAAATTCTAAAGCAGAATGTATTGGAGTTGCTAACAGTTTACTTAAGTGTAGGAGCCTCAGGAAACAGATCTGGCAGGCTCAGTCACACGATGGTAGCATGATGTTGTCAGGTGTAGACTGCTGGTGGTGATTGAATCCCATCTCGATCATTTCCCAGCTCTGTGACCTTCAGCAGCTGTTCGCTAAGCAAGCCTCCTCCTTGTGCCTCAGCTTCCTTGCTTTAGAAATGGGAAATCTTGTTACCTACCTAGAAGGGTTGTCCAAGGATTAAAAAGAAAACAAAATGTTAAGTTTCTGGCATAGAACAAGGACAGGTAGTGGTACTATGTAGTTTGGATAGTCACTTGAGGAGGAGGCTGTAGGAAGCGTTCTCTAAACTTCATAGTTGTTTGACCTTAGTGTATTGTTTTTTGTGAAATTTATGTCTGACTTTGCAGGCTAAGGCCCTACCTGGCCTACTAATGCAGCTTTGTTTGAAAGAGGTGACCAAATTCCCTTATGTACAGTGTTTCAGGCAGAATAGCTCTGTATTTTTGGTATGTTTACTGGAATTCTCAAGTTTCTAAGTAATTTCAGTCTGAGACAAGTGAGTAGAATTGATGTCAGGCTGCCTTAACACAGGTGTTACAAACAAGATGAAGAGGTTGTTGAAAAGATATCAGTGGAGCTCTGGGGCTGGCTTTCTGAAGTCATTCTAAATTGACAGTTAATGGGTAGTTTGCCTTGATGACTCTCTCTGAGTTAGTTGTAACTGACTAGAGATTCACCCACAAAGAAAACATGCTTATGAAAATTCACTTCCTTTATCATGAAGTGCACATTAGTAACGTAATATTTTCTCTGCATCATGCAGAAAACACTTGCCTTTGTTTTGTTTAGATTGATTTTTTTTTTTGTCTCTTTGAGACAGGGTCCTGCTATGCAGTTCAGGTTGGCCTTGGGCTCATTTTGCAGCCCAGGCTGGTCTCGAACTTGCAAACGATTCTCCTGCCTGAGTCTCCCAAGTGCTGGGATTAAAGGTGTGTGCTACCATGCCCGGTTTAGATTCCTTTTTAAGAGACAACCAGTTTTAAATTTGATAAACTAAGCCTTCTAAGTTTCAAAGAAATAGTTCAAAAAATGGTTCAAAACAATTGTTTTATTCTATTACGAACTTTTTTTTTTTTTTTTTTTTTTGTAAAACACTTACTTATCTATTTATTTTGCCCTTGGTAAAGTTTCTCTCTGCCCAGCAAGGAATGCATTTTGCCTATCTGGTCTACTACATATTTCTTGTAAGAAATTGAGTATCTTAAAATGTTCTTGATGTTAGCAGGTGTTAAAGTCACTTTGGAATCAATTTTGTAGCTCCCCTGAGGGGGTGTTGTGTTGGAGACAAGACTTGCCAAGGGAATAGGTGACAAGTAAGCCTTTACCCAGGCCAGCAGAAAATTCTTTTTGGTCATCTTCCACATGGCCAGTGGTCTGGGTTCTCTTTATTATTTTCCAGGTGGAAGAAATAGTTTTGACACTGAATTCTCATCTAATAATAATTAGTCATTCACCATCTTTGTCTTTATTGGGAATGGAGATATTTTGCTCACTTTAGTGATTTGTAAAACTTCTCAAAATAGTAAAACCTTTAGTTGAAGAAAATAAAGTGTATCTTAGACAAAAGCAGACATAAAGCTATTTATTTTCATTGTCTGTGATGGACTCATCAACAGGCATATATTGAGGCCATAAGACCAGACACTTCATTCAAGCTGAGAGAAATAGGTAAGTCGGTACACAGGTACAGGAGAGTCTATTATGTAATCACATTTTGTTTTCAGACTGTACAGTATCGTCCGTAAAGTTGAAAAATACTCTTTTTTTAAAAAGCAGGATATTAAGATTAAAGTTCCATCCTAGTTATATTTTCCTTAAAAGTGGTAACTACTATGTTAACAGTTCTGTGGATAAGTTCTAAGCTTTATAAGAAATACAGTAATAGCTACAGTCTCAGACTTCTGAGACTAAATCCATGTCAGAACCCTTAAGCAATGAATGAGCAAGAGTTTGTAAATGAACAAACTGGTTAGTTTGTCACTCATAATTCCTTTTGCATTCATCCCCCCCGGATGGTTCATTTCTTCTTTCCATTTTATCTAAACAGCTTCATTTTTCTCTCTTTTTTTTTTCCTATCGACCCTTTGTCCCCAGCAACTCCTACTTGAAGGAGTAAAGCAGTTTTGAGTTTTAGCAGTGACCTCAGGGGGGCACTGAAAGATTTCCTTGCCCCACTTAGTCTTCATGAAATCATCCATTGGTAGAGGCAGAATTGCCCTGGCCAGCGATTTCTCTGTCAGCATAATTTGGCGTAACAGGTGTGTTGTGTAACTTGAAGAACCACAGTTGGTCTGCTGTTTGGCAAATATATATTTTACCCCTCTCCCTCCAGAGTCTTGTAAGGCATCCAGCCTTTTGGTTACCTGAAATAGGAAGATAAACTTATTGTACCTGAACCTGTGGTTTAAAACTATAAATAATTTAAAATAGCTTTCCTATATCATTTAACGTTTGAAAGTTTAGGATGGCCTGATAGTAACGGTAGGTAACTTAGGGCTTAGTTGTTTCCTCTCAAATGATCTGGTGGAGGGAGTTCTTAGTGAAATCCCCATGTAGTAGATGACACTAAGCTTCACTGGGTGTGGACATTCCCACAGGCAAGGAGCAGCTGCAGAAAGAGCTTCCTGGCAAAAAGTTGGGCAGAAAAATAGCAGAAGGGATTTTAATGGTGGCTAAAAGATAATGGTAGCAGGCAGGAATGATGCAAATATGCCTTGAAGGTGATAATTTCTGAGGTTGTGACAAGGAAAGCAGTCTGGAGGCTGTGTGTGCTGTTCTGCAGAGGTGAGAGCTAAATTTCAGGCCCAGTTCTGTGTTTTTAGGTTCAAGCCTTTCACCTCTTTGAGTCTTGACATATTCGCCTGTAAAGTGTAGGATTAGGCTAATAATATTTGCCTGAATCTAAGCTTTACTGTGCTTACCCTCTGAATATCATTTGGTACTGCCCCTTAGAAGATGTACTAAGCTACAATATAAAATGTGGTCTAGAGCAGCAAAAAATGATTAAACAGGTAGTTATGGAACTGATGAATTCTGTCTGGCTGTAGCCACTATGATGGCAAAAGAGCGGTGATAATTTGCATACATTTACTAATAGTAAATTATGGTTCCTGGCTAGGTCATTGGTGTCCTGTTCTCCCCCACTGAATCATGCTGTGTTCGTTGATCTCACGGCTGGTACAGATGCTCCTTCCTGGTGTCTTTGTTTCTGTACTCACGCTGCAGCCACAGCACTAACTGGAAGGTTCAGAATCTCAATTTATTCGTGTGTGTTATATTTCTCACGAGACTGAAGCATCTGGAGGACAAGAAATAGTATTACTTGTTTCTCTCTTTGTCAGCCTTGTACTCCTCGTGCAGAGCTGTGCAGATGCACAGTAAGTTGCCCTGTGATCTCCATGAAGTGGTTCCTGTCTGTCTGTCCTCCCCAGCCTGTTCACAGCAACACAATGTATTTTACTTCATGAGAGTTATTTATCAAGGGGATTTCTTTGACTTCTAAACTGTAATGACCTAAGAAAATGTTGAAAGTATTTCATTTTATTTGGAATAACGTAGAATTTTTAGATGAAAAGACTTTTTTCCCTCTTACATTTGTTCATGCTAGCATTTGATATGATACAATTTTAAATCCTTATCAATAGGATAGATAAAACAAATTATTAAAAAGATTTTATAAGTGGTAAATTATTATTTTGAAAAAGAGACAGATACAGTTTTCATTTCAGTTGGGTTAGTCAGATATTGAACTTCAGAATCTCAGAAGTCTAGAGTGTCCAGAGTCTAGAGTGTCCGGTCTTGTTAATAGCAGCATGATACATAGCTGGGGCTTCATTAGAACATGTCCAGTGAATGGAGAGCCTTTTCTGTTCCTGTTCCAGCTAGTTTAGATGTGTGCTGATATGTACGGAGCCGCAGTCTACCTGTTACTGTTTGAGCAGAATGGGTTAGGTGCCGACTGTAAGCAAGGCACTGTTAGGTGCTGAAATATTTGTTAGAAGCACATGTTCCTACTCATGTCCTACTCATGTCCTAACTCATGATGTAATAGTGGAGATGGAGGTTTATTAATACATGTGTTATGTCCTGATAGATTAATTCAGGGCTGCGAACACTCTGGACGGTTGCTGGACCCCTGGAGGACTCTTCAGAGAGCTGAGGTCTGAGCTGGGGCTGCAGGTTGAGAAGGGTTTCTCTAGCTGGAATGAAGTGAGAGGAAGGTGATTGGTCATTCTTAGTACCATCGCATACCTCTACCCAGTCTGAGGCATCCAGTAATCAGAGGTGATTCCCATGTCTACCCCATCTGCTCTCTAGGTCTCCTACAGCAAGGTTTCCAGACCTGGTCCTGTCCTGCTCATGCATTCCTAGTGCATTACTGTGATCAACTCAGCACTGTGGAACTGTGGCTGAGTTGGATGCCAAGGTAAAAGTATGCTCTTAATATCCCTTAGCTTAAAAAAAAGAAATAAAACGAGCCATCCTTTTGACTCATTGAGACTTAATTGAAAACCTCAGCTCTATTCTGAATGACTGGATTTTGACTTTTATTTTCCTGAAAGGTACTTTATATGTTTCCTTTTTTTTTTCTTTTTCTTTTTATCTTTTTATTAAGCCTACAGCACCCGGTATTCCCAGGCAGTCTCCCATCCAAGTACTAACCAGGCCCGACCCTGCTTAGCTTCCGAGATCAGACGAGATCGGGCGCGTTCAGGGTGATATGGCCGTAGACATGTTTCCTATTTTGATTTTAAACAGATGTTGTATATTTGGTTCAATGAGTTATGAATCTACCTATGTGTGCTTTTCTGCACCCATGTTTATCCACTTGAATAACTTAATGAAAGATCTTGGTCTTAAACTACCCTCTATGTACTATATGAACCCTTAATGTGTTTAGTGGTAACTGTATCAAAGGACCTCAGTGACAGGCATGGCATGGGTGTGGCTTATTTTGTGTCATCCTCTGCTGGCTTCTAGTGATTCTCTCTTCTTTTCCTCTTAAGTCTATGCATATCCACATTATTTTGCCAAATTTACTTTGGATCTTGTTTAAAATAAGTAAAGGAAGTATTGTCTTTCATTTCTTGGCTATTTCTCTTTCATTGTGTACCCTTCCATGATACATTTTCTCTCTTACTGTCTTCCTCCACCCCCAGCAATCTATCCTGAATTTGATAATTATTGTTTCCTTGCATTTTTGTACAGTAATCTATTCTTGATTTATTGATCATTGAAATTTTTTCACAAATACGTTGCAGTGAAAATTCTTTATCTTTTTTTTTGACAATTATGACAACTTCTCCAATGTGTATGCATACCTAGGAGTAGAACTGGTGAGATTATTGTAAAATGCATGCATCTTTAGTGTCATTAGGCATTACCAATTGGTGTTGTTCCACAAGCAAGTTTAGCACTTCCTCTTTGTCCACAGCCTCACCAGCATTTGGTATTCTAGGTATTTTATTTTTTTCATTTTTGTCTATCCATAGTATCTCATGGTTTTAAAAGTGCCTTTTCCTGATTTCTAATGAGTTTTTATATGCTTTTATATATGCTTATGAATTGCTCCGTATTTTTTTCTTTTGTAATCATCTGTTTATAGACTTTGGTTTATTTTGTTTAATCTGACTATGGCTTATCTTCCTGTAGACAGTTCTGTGAGGAAGCATAACAGTTATAGAATGCAGCACAGATAAGTCACATGACTTATCTAACTTTGTGTGATTTAAGTGATTCATTGGAGCTCAGAGTATCCTTTTGCTCAGCTGTTTCCTGCACTGTGTGGTGTTACGTCTTTTAGATCAGTGCTGCTTTGTTGTTGTTGTATTGTTGTCTGCTATCCCCTCCAGCGCCTAATAGAATAGAGTGATGCGGAAGTTGTATTATCTTAGAAAATATTTCTGGAATGAATGAATGAATGATAATGGTTTTGGTGTAGCTGACAAAACATATTCAGAATAAAGCTGCTGAAGTGGGGTAGTTTACCTTCCAATGGTTTTATAAGTATTTGCTCATGTTGCCTTTGATAAATAAAAAGCCAAATCAACATTCAGCTTTCTGGTGTAGCTGTAGAATTAATCAGAGAAGATGTCAAAGTAAATCATGGACATTAAAGCGTAGTTTGTGCTTCTCAGAGAGAAATCTGCATAGCCTTTGGAGGTGAGGCAAATATATATTCAGGCTTAAATGAAGATTAAGAATTTTGTGGGCGGGAATTGATTAAGTAGAGTCTTCATGATTAGTGATTTAAATCATAAATCAGATCCATCTTCTTAACCAGTCATATTACAAATCATAAGTAAAACCGTTGGTAGGTTTTATTCCTGTCTTTTCCTTCCTTCCTTCCTTCCTTCCTTCCTTCCTTCTTTCCTTCCTTCTTTCTTCTTGACAATACGTACCTTGCTGTGTTGCCTAGACCTCAAATTCATGATCTTTCTGACTCAGTCTCTTACGTATCTGGGATTACAGACATACGCAATCACATCTGGTTTTTATTTCATTTGTTAATGTATTGATATTTTCCCTCATTGTAGCTATTGATCTAATAATTACTGACGCATTAGTACTTGTAATTTTTTTATTGTTTTATATTTTCAGATAATTTTGATTTGAGATTTTGAGGGGTTCTTGGTGCTTGTTTTTTTTCTCCTGAAAAAAAAATGGTAGGTGGCCATGGTTCATTGATTATTTTTTAAGTCTTATAAATTTGCAGAGATACAATGTATGTTTACAGGTGGACCTCTAGAATTTTTACTCAGTTATTAACTAAAAGTAGAATTATGGTAATTCTTACATTGGTGTTAAATTTTATAGTTTACACAGGATCCCTTTGTAAGTATTTTGTTTAGTCATCACACAAACCATTTGGTGATGGAATTTTCTGTCTCTGATTACTTTTGATCTCTAATTACAAATTTTGGCTGATGGTAGTTGCAGTGTTAGACATTGTGAGCATTTTCTGTTGTGCCTTAAGCAAATTTGCAAGGGAGCCCTGATGTTAACTTTGGCAGGTTTCATGCTTGCAAATATTGATTGAGCCAGAAGTCCTAGTTGTAAAATGTCACCAGTGAATGTGCAGCCAGTAAAGGCACAGGAAAACTCATTACTGCAGCTCATCTGTAACTTCTGGGTCAGGCCACTCATACCATCTGGTAATAACGAATGTTTGAAAACTCCCTTTTATTCTGACAAAAGGTAATCAGGAGAGGTTAACAGCAGATGATTTCTGAGCATTTCAGATTGGTTAGACCAATCCATCCACAGTCTTGGGTTGTGACATTGCACGTGTCTAATTATTTTCAAGAGGTAGTAGGAAGTTTTAAAATAATGAAATCCCAAAATAACAGTTGGAATTTAATTATGCCTCCCTTTGTCCCCTGTGTTGTGCACTGCCTCCCTTTCTCATTAAAAGTATTTATTTTGAAAAAGAATAGGCAGTGGGAAAGGAAGAAGTAAATAGGATTGCCATCTTGACTTAGTCCAGTGTTTTTCTCGAATGTGAGAGTGAGGCTAGTCTGTTCTTTAAGGAGGAGGATTGGGGACCGCAGAAGGAAATTGTAGGTTGAAAGGTTTCTCCTTGATGTAATGGCTTCTCCGAGGGATCCAAAGGTGGATCACATCACTCTAGGACACAAATTAGGGAGGAGGTGTTTGGTCACTGGAGGTGTTGATAGGAAGGTCTTAGCCTATGCTTGCTCAGAAATGCTTCAAAAAGAGATTAAGACTTAGATGACTGGTTGGGTTAGACTGAGGGTGGGTAAGGTGTGGACTGATTCTAGTGCCTCAGAAACTAGGGCAAAAAGTTGTGAATCTAATTGTACACAGATATTTTCTGTAGAGTGAATACATTCATGTTCTCTCTGTTATGAAGAAGGAAAAACAAAGTAGGAACCGTGTATTTTTGCTCACCATATAAATTGTTTAAACCCATTAGACTCAGAATAGCCTGTTCTTTAGCTTAACCTTGAAAACAACCCAAATGCCCAACAACCTAGGAATGGATAAAAAAGATGTGGTATTTTTATACAACGGAGTACTATGCAGCCATAAAGAAGAATAAACTTAAAACTTTTATATGTCAATGGATGCAACTTGACATCATACTTATTAGTCAAATAAATCAGACTCAATGTGTAAATATTGTATTGTCTTCCTGGTGTGAGAAATTGAAAGAGTAAGTCAGTCTAAAATGTGAAAGAGATATTGCAAAATAGGAAGAAATAGTTTAAAAGAATAAGGAGCTAGAATGGGGGGATGGGGAAAGAAAGGAAGGAAAAAGGAAGAAAAAATGCAAGTTATACTATTTGTGCCTTTTAGTTCATAGAAAAGGAAGGTTTGTGCTAATACTCATTGGAGAAGCTTTTATGTCTATATCTTGTATTCTGAGTAACTAAAGATAAAAATGTGTGATGTATTAATATTATTATTCTATTATTTTGTTACAAAATTTTGTTTTACCTTTTTTCTATAAAAAAATACCCTATTCTTTAGAGGTGTAAACTAAATTATCTCTTTCTTCCAGCTCAGATTCTTGAGTTTTCTCTATTGTTATTTAAGGAACAGTACTTCATGCCCTGCTTGGAAAACCCTTTTCTGCAGTTGTCTGAGTTCCTTAGTACTAGGTGCTGGTTTAATACAAAGTTATAGCAGGTTTCTTTTGATGGTTTCCATTTCTTTAATAGAATTGGACATTTTTTTCTTCTGTTTTTGTGAAAGCATCTACTATGAATTAGCCTGTTCTTAGCCAGGTAACTTGAAATGTTGAGCTATATTTAGGTACCTTCCCCACGTTATGCTGTTAAATCCTGATACAAATGTGGTCTTCGCATTAATAATTGCACTGTGTGTTTTCATAATTTATCATAATGATATCATTATTGCTTATTATAGAAGTTGCCTTTCTTCTCCCTCACCCCAAAGTCTAATTGAGGTCGAGACAGACCGTAAATGTGATAATATAGATTGCATGCTCGGAGGAAATGGAGTTGGTTTCATAGTGGAGTTTTAATTTAGGATTCGTTCTGGTGATGTAGCCTCTTCCTATGGTACATTACTTTGAGCCCAATATAACTGCATGTTCCCACAGCCCCTCATTATAGCTGCAGCTTCTCACTGCTTTTTAATTAAAAAAAAAAAAAAACAGAGAGAGTGGAAAATGAAACCTAAAGCTTAGGTTGGATATTGTCTGGGTACACAGGGAGTATCCTAAGCAGATTCCGTCTTTTAACTCTTTCATTGCTTTTGTGGAGATGTCTTGATTTATGTTTCCATATGGATGGAAACACACATACGTGCTGTAAGATTACTGTAAAGTTAAGGCGTCATATAGAGGTGTATTATCTTAAAGGCTAATACAAGCTTTGAGTACGTGGGAGTCTGTGTCCTAGAAAACACCAGCTGTGTGGTTCAGTGGTGGCAAATACTTAGTGACCTTTTTCCCCCATTTACCACATGTGGGGAATAAAGCAGGAAAGGTAGATTGTAAAATCCCTTCAAGGCGGATGGTCTGGTACACCAGAAGTTAAGAGTCAATCATTTTTCTCAAGTCCTGTGGGCAGCAAAGGCAGAGGGATGACTTTATTTAGGTCAGTTTCTTTGTCATTTCTTCATCTTGCGGGATTCCAAACACCTTTCAGATACCAAAACAAGTTAATCTCCGAAGGTGACTGGTAAGGGTGGCTTAAGCCTCTTGGGATCGGTTGCGTGTGACGCTAGGGAAGCTTGGCTTGAGCTGTTGACCTCTGGATCGGCAGCTTTCAGTTTCCCTGTAGTGAAATTCAAGTGACAGTGGTGAGCATCATCCCCTGCTTCGAGTTCCTGTTTTGTTTTATATGACCAGCTGCTCTCAGAGTGGTGACTATAGTCAAGTTTATTTCCAGGTGGGCGTGGAGTGAGCATCGTAACTTCTAGTGTGGTGTTTCAGTCAGGACCAGCTCTCTGTGAGTACCTGTTTCCTTATTGTTGCTTTGTCAGGGAGCAAGAAACCCTGTTAGACCTGTGCTGTTTGAGCTGTGGCCACTAGTCACAGATGCTGTTGAGAACACACTGTGGCTGGTACGTATGGGGATGCTAGCTTCCAAAGACTTAGTGTGGAAAGAGGTAAAATAGCACATTAGCATTCTTTTCTATTGACATGTTGAAGTGGTAATATATTATTCAAATTGACTTTACCTGTTTCTTTTTTAAAACATGGCTCCTACGTAATGTCAAATTACATGTATGGCTTGCATTACATGTTAGGTGGACTCTTTGTCCTAGAGTTTTAAGTTCTAATAGCAAGGCAGTGTTTACGTCGTTATTTGCATGCTTAGAATCAGTACAGCACCTTAGATGGAGGTGGCATTTAATATTCATTGAAGAAATGAATCCCAGCCTTTGTGGCTCAGAGTGGTAAACTCAGGAATGCAGAGGGAATTCTCTATTTGGAGTGTTAATTTTTGGAAAAGAAACAGTTGAAAGTGGGAGGGTAAAGAGCTGAAGTTCAGCCAGGCATAGTGTCCTACACCTGCAATCCTTGCTGCTGGGGAGGCTGAGACAGGAGGAATGCAAGTTAGAGGCCAACCTAGGCAGTTTGTAGTTCAGTGGTTGAGTGCTTGCCTAGCATGTGTGAAGCCCTGGTTCAATCCCTACTACTGCAAAACAAAACGAGCAAACTTACTATAAATTTTTACTTGGGGAGGGAAACAGTGCTGAAGTAAGACATATTAGAGTCTTTGTACATTGTACCCACTGTTGGAAAGGGAAGTGGGAGCGGCCACGGGGTGGAGGAGCCATGTGAGAGTGACCTACGGGGCTCTGCTCCGCTCTGCAGAGTTGTCATGAGAGGAGCTCAGTTTGAGTTCTGGGGGAGGAGGATTGAGAAACAGCTGGTGAACCTCCAGGCTGCCCTCTTAGGCGTGTTGCACTTAGCCTATTCATCAAGGTTATCAAAGCTTTTCTTGTCTCAAGAACCCACACTGATCCTGTGCACCCCTGTGACTGTGCTTAGTTGGACACGAGCTGACTGGAAGCCTGGAACTGCTGCTGGGCCAGATCATTACTTGATGCTGCTTCTTTAATAAATTGTTGGGTTAATGATTTAATAAATTGTTTTTAATTTAATCATGGTCTTCTGTGATATTTATTTATACATACATACATATATGTGAACCCTTTAGATCTGTGACCTTTATGGTACTGCAGTCATGATATATGAGCAGATTTTCCAAAGATCAGCTTCAACTTTAAGGGACCAGGTTATCTTTGCAAGAGTTTATTAAAATACTTTAGGTAGCCTGTCTCCCAGCTTATAAAACAGAACTGTTAACTGCTTCTGGTTGCCAGAGATGTAGCAGACATTAAAATTCTGCAGAAGAAAGTGCTATTTCAGTGGAAATTATTAGAAATAAAAATGCAGCTTCTCCCCTGACCTCTGCAATGCTTGCTTTAAACAAGTGAATTGGTTGGGTATGGCCTGTAATCCCATCTGCCCTAGAGGCTGGGGCAAGAAGATTGCCAGTTTGAGGCCAGGCAGGCAATTTAACAAGACCCTGTCTCCAAAGAAAATATTAAAACAACCACAAAGGCACTAAAGGTTTAGCCCAGCAGTAGAATGCTTGCGTTCAGTCTCCAGTACTGGGAGGAAACAAGTGGATGGGAAGATGGGTTTCCAGAGGGTGTTGCCAGTATTATTTCTGTTTTGCATTTCTTAGCTATAGCAGTAGTTAGTTTTTTTCCTTTTAATTGTGGCCCACTGCCTTTTTTCTCTGCCCTCAGAGATAAACAATCCAGAAATGTCTCCGTGGAGAACTCTGGAGCTCATGCTTTGACTTGGCTCTGCAGCAGGCTCTTGCTAATCAGAATCACAGCAGGGCTTGTTTTATGAGCCTGAAAGAATTTGTGTTCCCAGGGGGCTGAAGTTCCTTACCTGCTGGGGAGCTGTGGATTCCTAGTTTGGAGTTTGTCCTCCTGTAGGATAAAGCTACCTTCGCTTCTCCTTCTCACATGAAAGCCACCACCTCCTTTCCCTTGTAGTCTGTAGTTACTGGCATGGTGTCTTTTTTTTTTTTTTTTAAAGTAGAATCTTGAACTTCAGGAGATAGGGTGTGTTCATACGAGACTGTACTCTATCCTAAGGGAACTAGGAAGAGAATGAAAAATAACAGGTGGTGCCACACAAACTACATTGTCTAATGTGAGTTTTCTATGCAATGTCATATGCTGAGACTTACTGAAGCACCTGGTATGTAGAACCAGCAGGATACATGAATATAAAGGAAATGACTTTGTACCGTGGCATAGTGCAATTCAGTGACAGAAGGCAAGGTGGGTGACATGTAATAGAAATTTCTCTGTTTTACTGAACAATGTAGTGGGCTGGCAGTGAATGTGGCATTTTCTTCAGTTTGGTAGTAGTGTGCCATGTTGCACTAGCTCACTGTTAGTGTGTGCAGTCGTCATACCAAGTAAGGAAAAGTTCATTTGTTGGGGAAGACAGAGTCATCTGGACTACAAACATCATTTTATGTTTGTGTAGTCCTCTTATAGTTTAGAGTTCTTTCACTTTAAAAGCAGCCTGTTGAAGTTCACTGGGAAAGGACAAATTCTGCATTTGCAGGAAGCTGACTGAGGTTTAGAGGTCAGAGATATGTCTAGTCATACCCAAAGCAAATTGAGTCAAATGGTGACATTGATGTCTTTTTATTGTTTCTTCTTAGGTTTGAAACCCTTTTCAAGTGCTTGGTTTATTCTACTTTAATGAAAAGTATGTTTTTCATGGATTGTTACAAAAGGCAAAGTGAGGTAGCATCAGAGAGTATGGTAGAAAGTACCAAAGAGTAGGAGTCACAAATTGGTAGTTCTCTTCTATGGTAGCAATGGATTTGTGACCTTGTGGAATGATTAAATTGAACTAACAACTCTTATCAGCTTACATAGATTTTTTTTGGTGGTAAAAACATTGAAAACCTACTTTTTAAGAAATTTGAACTATGCACAGTGCATTATTATTATAGTCACCATTCTGTGCAGTAGATTACCAAAGCTTATTTCTCTTAACCAAAACTCCTTCATCAATGTGTCTTCTTTCTGTGGCCTTTGGAGCCATCCTTTGACTCTGCTTCTGAGTTCAACTATTCTAGACTCCACATATAGGTGAGATCATGTAGCATTTGTCTATCTGTGCATGGCCTGTTTCACTTATGGCAGGATAATGGTCCTCCAGTTTGATTCACAGTTTTGTAAAGGACAGAATCATATTCTTTTATTGCAGACTAGTATTCCATTGGGTATATATACCCCACATTAGGCATTTATCTTATGGTGTTAATCTAGGTTGGTTCCGTATCTTGGCTATTACAAATACTGCTGCAGTGAACGGGAGAGTACAGATAACATTTGCATTCTAATTTGACTTCCTTTGGATATGTACCCAGAATTGGGATTGTTAGATCATAGGAAGATTCTATTTTTAGCTTTCTGGTTTTTGTAATGGTTGCATTGATTTACGATCCCACCAACCCTGCGCAGGAATTCTCTTTTCACCTCAGCCTCCTCAGCCCTTCTAACAGATGTGAGATAATATATCTCCGTGTTTCTCCTTTGAATCTCCCTGATTAATGGTGATGAACAGGTTTTCATATATCTGCTCTCCATTTGTATATTTTCTTTTGAGAAGTTTCTGGGTGGTCCCTTTTCCTGGCCTCTGGCCTTCCTCGGTAAAATAGAATATTAAATACAGTAGATCTTTGGAAGTTACATGTGGTATATTTTCTAGTTGAACTACTTCTAAGTGACTGTAAAAGTCTTTGTAACATATAAATTAAGACCATGTGCTAAGGGGTCAATGTTGAGGATTGTTCCTCTGTAAGCGAGCCTAGTCCAGTGTCCCCATCTTCAAGTGGGGCCATATCTGTTCTGTGCAATTTCTGCGTACATAGAAACTTTTGTAAAGTGGTAAAACTGTGTATCAAAAAACTGCTCCCCACCAAAAACAAACAAACAAACAAACCCCAGTTGTTCATGGTGTATTTGTAAAATCATGGTCTGAAAAATGACCATGTAGAATTTTGTCCCATTTTGTGGGAGAGATAGTTTGTTATGGTGCTTTCCTATCAAGGAATCCTTGGATCCTTTGAGAGCATTTGTCTGTGCCTTCCTATGTCTTTTCCAGCTCTAAAAGTCTGTTGTTTTCTCTCATTCACAGCCCAACAGGGGCACAAAGCGTCCCCGAGATGAGGAGGAAGAGGAACAGAAAACACGTCGGAAACAAGCTGGTCCTCGAGAACGGGGCCGATATCGGGAGGAGGAGGTGACTGTGGCTGAAGAAGCAGATGATGACAAAAAAAGACTGCTTCAGATTATTGACAGAGAGGGCGAGGAGGAAGAGGAAGAGGTAATACATCAAAGCTGGGTTGGCACCCAGACCCGGGTTCTGGTGTGCCATCTCTAGAGCCATTCAGATAACTGCTTAACTCAGAACTTCCAAACTTTGTAAGATAGGGTTAAGAATTTTTATTTCATAGTGTTGATGTGAAGTTTAAGCGGGATAGTGGAAATGTTCAGAAAACATTTTCTAAAGTGTAAGAACGCCACAGAATTTTAAAGGGTTGTTCCTGATTACATGCTGAATCGAGGTCCATGAGAACAGAGAGGAAGGCTTAGTTTTGACTCTGGAGACTTGGGGAAGTTTCCTAGACTGATCCTTCTGGGGACCCACTTTTCAGTACAGTCAGTAGTCTTTGTAAGAGGAGCTTACAAGTGAAAGAGAGAGGGGCTTTTAGGATGGAGGAAATGGCATTGGCAAAACAGCAAAGGTGGTAGAATTCAAGGGTTCGATGGGATTGGGTATTGAGATGTGACTAGAAAAGCACATTTTAGGGCTGGGCTTAGTGTGTGCCTGTAGTCTCGGCTTTTGAAAGGCTGAGAGGGGAGAATCATTTGAGTCCAGGAGTTCAAGGCCAGCTTGGGCAACACTGCAAGACCTCATCTTAAAAAACAAACAGAAGAAAAGTTTAGGGAAGGAGTGGCCTAGGGCTTTTCTATTTGCCAGTCCTCAAGCTGCCTCTGGGTTTTTGTACTCCTTCCTTGTGCCTCTGAACCCTGTCTCGGAGTGCTCTGCCCGTAGCACTTTGCATGACCGGGTTTCTTCCCATTCAAGTTTCAGTTCAGGTGTTTTCCGTCTGAGAAGTCTGTCCTCTCTCTGAGAAAGACTTGTAAGCCACCTTCACTACTCTCATACTTGCTTCTGTATATTGTCTTTGCAGCACCTGTCACGATTTGAAATTCTTATTTGCTCATTTGACGTATTTGTTGTCCTCCGCCAGTTTCCCATGAAAATAGGAATTGGTTCTGTTTTGTTCACAGCTGTATCTCTGGCACTCAGGGCTATAGCTCTTGGTAGACCCTTAATAAATATTTATTGAATGAATAAATAAATGAAGCTGAGAATCGTATAGGTAAAATATCAGTGAATAAAAACAGAATGACCTTACCTTTGTGTCTTTTTAAATCCTTAAGTGTTAACGTGTGTGTTATTTCATTGTGGCATTTTGTTCAATGTGAATTATGGAAATATATTCTTAAGAGCCAGCTGTTTTCTGGTTCCCTCAAAGACGTGATGCTAAGTTTGGATTTAAAAAATGAGGCTGGAGTGTGAATCTGAGAAGAAAAAAAAACTGGTTCATTTTCCAAAAAGGTCTTTGCTGTGTTTTGACAAAAACTCTCTTCTCATTAAGGTTTGTCCCAGAGCTAATTTGGGGATCTGTCCCTGAAAGATGAAACCACTTCGGGAATCTGTAGTGGGAGACAATCAGTCTTGAATTGTGAATCTGCTCTCTGAGGGTCGCAGCCCTGCTGGACTCACAGGGACAGAGTGTGCGGCACGTGCTCCCGCTTCCCTTCCTCACCGGCTTCTGCTCAAGCTGTTCACCCTGCAGCAGCAGTTAACTGGCGGGTGTAATTCCCATGTAGGGCAAGGCTAGTGATGGAGGATTAGGATGGTAGCTGTCATGGGTAAGTGGTTTCTAGGCCAGGAAACAGAAATGTAATATGGGACCAGCCCTTCTGTTAAGGGACAGTGAAAAAGAGATCACTTTGTAAAAATGACACATGGAAGGCTACAAGTCCAGGAGTTATTTTCTCACTGCCACCAAAGTCCCATTTGATGAAAAACAAGTGATGCTTGCCCCTGTAAAGTCACGTGGACTTGTAAAATATTATTGTCCTTTTTGTGCTACATCACTAGCATTCATCTTTCTGAAATCTCCCTCTGGTTTCTGACTTTGAGCTATTGGGGAAACTGCTGTGGCCAGTGACTAAGACTGATAATTCCGTTTCCCCAGTGTTGAGAGAAATTACAGAACGCCTCACCCTGGAGAGGCTAGAATTTTGGAAATTCCATACAAACTGCTTTAACACGAATATGGTTTTCCTGTAAGGTGGGCAACGTGGTATCAGAGCGAAAGAAGAGCAGTGGCTGAGGTTGTATGAAAGTAATTTAATTCACCCCTAAAAATTTGATTATTTAAATCCTAGGGGTATGCTGAGTACATTGTGCTGGTTGCCGTTAACAATAACATCTTAAATTAACATTGTTTACCAAACAATTTTAGGTACATAATTTTATTTTATTTTTATTTTTTGGCTTTTTCATTGTTATCGGTACCGGGGATCGAACTCATGACCACCTGCTTGCAAGGCAGGTACTTATGCCGCTGAGCTAAATCCCCAGCCCCCGGTACATAATTTCTTTAGGTCATCCCTATGACCTTGAAAGATACAGGAAGCATTTTCACTTATCCTTCATTTACTTCCACCATTTTCCTCTTCAGCAGATCTTCAGTGGGTATCTGCTGTGTGCCAGGGACTGGGAATTTAGCAGTGAATAAATAGAGATGGGCCAGCAACCAGAGATATTTGCCCTAGTTTTGGATTGGAGAGATTATCTGGTCTTCCAGATCCTCATAGAAGGACTTGAGATTTTGCTGTAAGTGTCAAGTGGCTGAATTCAGTAGAGACTTATGTGGAGGAATCAGCTGGATTTGGTGAAGGTTTGAGCAATATATTTAGTGAAGCTACATTGTCATATGGCTAGTACACAATGAAGCGAGGCCGAGTCCTCACTGACCTGGGACACTGTCAAGACCCTGGAAACAGAGTTCAACAGAGTACAGCATCTCCAGATCATTGAATCTTTGATACCATCTAGGAAACATGTCAGGTCTCAAGTAAATAAAGGAAAGATACCTTATACTTAAAACACAATATATGAAAATTGAAATTTAATAATAAAATAATAGCAAATATTTTGAGTAGTTACAAAATTATGAGATGATTCATTGCTTTCCAAAAGGATCTTTTTCAGGTTCTCCTAATAGCAGTTCCTTTATTCCTTTTAGGTTTGAGTTATGGTCAGCAACTACAAAACAGTGAAGCTGGGGATTGGAAGATTTTGTTTACCTGTGTAGATATTACTATAGCGTATTAATTAGGAAAATTCTGTGTGATCTAGTTTCTTTATGCTTCTTCTGAGCAAGGTTACTAAATTCTTGATGTTATATCCGGATTCCAAGTACCTATTTGATTGCCTTCTCAGCAGCTAGTGAGGTATGAGTACAATAATTTGTGAGAGACGAAAGCAGTGACTGCAGTTAATTAACAGCCATTCTTCAGTCAGGGACTGTGCAAAAACAGTAGGGTGAGTTTGGCCTGTGGACTGTAGTTTTCTGACCCCAGTAAGGAGAAAAAATTAAGGACTTCTGTCATTGACTTAGGGTTTGATCTTTTTTTTGTACTGAGGATCGAACTCAGGACCTCGCACTTGCAGTGCAGGTGCTTATGCCACTGAGCTAAATCCCTAGCCCTTTAATGTTTGATCTTGAACATGTTTTTTTAAAAATTTCTACATCAGGGGCTGGAGATTTAGCTCAGTGGCATAAGCGCCTGCCTTGCAAGCAGGCAGTCGTGAGTTCGATCCCTGGTACCGATAAAAAGGAAAAAGAAAAAAAAAAAGAAAAAAATTTCTACATCTTACCTGCCACAAGGAACAGGACAAAATTAATATTAAATAATAATATATAATATTATTGCTTATTGTTGTCTGGGCCATGCAGTGTGCTCAAGAAATACTTGTTAGGTGGGCACAGTGGCACATGCCTGTAATATCAGCTACTCAGGATTATAGGCTGAGCAACATAGTAAGACCCTATCTCAAAATACAAAATGCAGAATAAAGAATAAAAAGATGATAGCTCAGTGATAAAGCACTTCTGGTTCAATTCTCTAGAGGAACTGGGAGACTGGAGGGAGGAAGGAAAGATTTTAAAATTTTATGTAATGATTTTCCTAAATATCTTAGATTGAATTTTCTGTGTTACAGATACTGACCATTATGTGAGACCCAGAGTGGTACCTGAAACATCTACTGTGCATCCTTAACCCTCATTGTAGTGGGGGAGAAGAAGTGTGTACTGTACACTGATTCTAGGAAGTCATTGGCAGAGTCATTGGTCGAGTGTAATTGCCATGGAAAGGAGTGACCGTGAATACAAAATCCATGTACTAAAGTTGTTGCATTTGTCCCTTTGTACCAGGAGGAACCATTGGATGAAAGTTCGGTGAAGAAAATGATCCTCACATTTGAAAAGAGGTCATATAAAAATCAAGAGTTGCGAATCAAGTTTCCAGACAATCCGGAGAAGTAAGGCTCTGTTTTTCTGATACCTTTTCTGCAGTGTTCTGTTTGCTAATTTTGTCTTTCCTTTGTTTTGTTTGCTTTGGCTTTTGCTGTTTGGATCAGGAACCCCAGGAAGATCCACATGTTTGGGAAATCACTAGAAGAACTCATAGGATTCAGTCTGTGGTACTCAGTGCTATGGTTTATTACAGTAGAAGGGTATACAGTGGGATCCATGAAGGAAAAAGACACATCAGGTGGAGTCTGGAGAAATTCACGCATAGGCTCATCTCTTTCTGCTTCCCCCTGGGAGGGCTCAGACAGACACGCTCTGTTTGCCAGCAATGAATTGTGTCAACATGTGTGCAGTATTTCTGTCCATGGAAACCTGTTTGAGACTCCCAAGTCTGGGCTTTTCATTTACGATTGTTCATATAGGAATTTCTGGCAGAAACAACTACCAGCATTCCAGTTTCCCAGAAGGAAAGCAGCTGTTCAGTGCTTCAGGCTGGCATAACAGCCTTATCACTTAGAGAATGTTTCAAAGCCAAGTTCCCAACTGCCAACTTGGGGTCAGCCTTGCAAGCCTGGCCGGCTAGGTTAACTCTTTCCCTTATTTGTCTCACTGTCAGAAGTAAAAGGACTCTATCTCCCCACCCCCCAGAAAAACATGTTTGTCATTAGTAAGAGCTTTAGTGTCAGAAGCTTTGGGGATATGTAGGATGTGACTCATATAACCTTAAGTAAATCACTTCCCCTTTCTTGGCTTCAGGTATCTGTCTCACTTATATAGGAAGTAGTATCTCCTGCACAAGATTGTTGTCAGGATACTAAATAATGATGTCAAGTATTTGTAGCTCAGTACCTGCACATGGTAGATACTCATGAAATGGTAGTTAATATAGTTATGGCTATTAGGTGCTGTAACAAGGGTATTATATCTTTTCAGTCTTGAAATTCTGACTAAAAAGACTTCATATTTATACTGATTTTACTGTTCTAAATCTTTCTCTCTTTCCTGTGTTCCTCCCTGGACATACAGTTTTAATGAATCTTAATACGTGCAAAGTTTTCCTAGGCAGTTAAGAATTGAATGGTATGACCTTTGCATTCACATTTATAGGTTATTATGGAAACTGGCTACACGACTCCAAAAGTGTTATAAGCAAGCAATTTGAAAGTGTAGGGGACGAAGCAGTAAAGCCTAGCTGGGGACAACTGCAGATTTCACAGCCAAGGTAGTATTTGAGTCAGGCTTTGAAGAATGATTTTGATTGTATTAGGCAGAAAAGAACGCAGAAAATCACGCAGGCAATGTGAAGAACCATGCAGCAAAGTGTCAGAGGGCAGTCTTCATGCAACCTGTGAAAGGTAGTGTGGTCCACTGTGCTCGCCATACTGTGAAGGAGAAGGAAGAGAAGGGAAACCGGTCATAAGGCTCACAGCCCTTTCTGATAGTATGAAGCCACTGGACCAGAATTCAACTTCCTGGCAGCAATGTCTTCTCTGGTTTTATGTTGGTTGCATGCTCTACCATACATTAGTACTTATTATACTGTGTGGTGTGTATGTGTATGCCCCATATCTGTGTTTACACAAGTAATACACAAGAAGATTGTCATCACAAAATATGACAACAGTGCCATAAGTAGAATAAGACATAAAAGTTTTCTTTTGCTGAGCCCCTTTTCACCTCCCCTATCTAGAAATAGCTCTGTGAGCAGTTCATGAATATCCTTTTAGATTATTTTCTGTATACTTCTTTATATTTATATGTAAATATACAGGGTTTTTTTGCCCTACATAAATTATCTTGTAAGTGTTCTGTACCTTCTTATTTGGAATCATATAGCAAGCAATGGTTTTTTTATTTGTGTGGGTTTTTTTTGTTTTTGTTATCTGCCTTTTATTATCTCCCTTTTGTCTTTTAATTACTATGCAGTATTTTATGGTTGGGAAATACTGTAATTTATCTAATTATATTTCTGTTGATGGGTATTTGGTTATTTTAAATACTGATTTTTATAAATAATGCTGCAGTTACCCTCCTTTAATACATGTTTTATGTGGAAGCTGTGCTCTAGGTTGATCACTTTGGAAATCTAGTTTACTTCTTGTAATACAAGTATGGCCATTGCCCCCCAGATTGTTATCCTCCTGGCAACTCAGAGCTGTGAGTTTCTGTAGGTTATAGTTAGCATATGTACCTTATATACCCCCTGGTGTGCTGGTGTTACCATTCATGAGCTGCTTTCATGAAAGAAATTTTTTTTAAAAAGTCAACAGTGTTTTCCATTCAAAGTTTATATGCCATTTTAGTTTTTAAATCTAAACATGTGAAAATTGAAATAGCCGCATAAAGAGCTTTTTGTCATGTCAAAAAGCTGTTAGGAAACCATATTATGTTTTAACCTTGAGTTCTTGAATTGTTACTGTTGCAATGTCTTTTATAATTCTCCAGACCAGCTAGGTACAATTAAGATGAAAATTGCTAGAGCATATTTGAATGAAACTTTCCAGTTGAGATCAGAAACATTGAAATTTATTTTCCCATATATGCAATTGTCATTTTAATAGCATATCCCAAAATGCCTCTCTTCATTTGGCTGCATTTCAGATTCAATTGACAGTTCTTCTGCAGCCTCCACTTTGCACTGTGCAATCCTTCTCCCTAATATCACCTGGGTTAGAGTATGCTGTTTCCCTAGAAGGGCCTTTCCTGGTTTGTCTCTTCATTTTTGCAGGAACAAAGTTATTTATTATTGTGTTGCTGAAGCCTTTTGATCTCAAGAACCTTTTGCACTCTTAATTTGAATACTCCAAAATGCTTTTCTATGAAATTTCTAGAAAACTCCACAACACACAAGCAAACATTCGATTAGCCCCCATCAGGTCAATGATATCACATATTGTCTAGCCCTATGTAAAACTCCATGATATGCTTCTGAGAGAATAAAAGTAACAAGGACAAATACCATGGAAGAATTAAAATAGTTTTGATTTGACAGTCACCCAAAAGCATGCCCAGTTACCTCCTGTCCGTATCCTAGGAACTCAGGACCACATTGAGAACTAATGATTTAGTTAGGTAGAGGAAACACCATGTTTCCCCAGCAATGACTGTACTTAGACCTCTTTGGTTCCTGTTGCTTTTGTACCACAGTGTTGAACTTTGCTGGTCATTTACTAATTTTTCATCCTGTGGTTGATGGAGAACATCTGCTTGTCTGAAGCAGGCAAGATTCTCTGTCATGTCAGATTGAGTGGATGACCCTTCCTCAGCCTAGGTTACTGTTCTAATATATTGCTCTATTGTTTTTCATCACTTCTCATTTGATTCTTTTTTTTTTGTGTGTGTGTGTGTGTCTTTTTCCTTTTTATCGGTACCGGGGATCGAACTCACAACTGCCTGCTTGCAGGGCAGGCACTTATGCCGCTGAGCTAAATCCCCAGCCTCTCTCATTTGATTCTTATCCCAGATGTGAATCATGTATTGTGGAAAGCAGAAGGCACTTGAAATCTCTAAAGGCAACCTTCTGCAAATGTTGTGTGCACTTTATATGAGTAGGCTGTACTTTGTCAGCAAAAGCAGAAGAAAATTGTATTTGTTATGGCATAGCAAACGAGGGTACAGCATCTTCTATGTGGCAGGTATTATTAGGCCCTTTATATTATTCCTTTTATTCCTCAATATGCTTCAGCTAAGAAGATAAGGAAATTGAGGTTTAGAGATAAGTAGTTAATAGTCTGCATTCCTTGACTGTTGGAACCCTGTGATCTGTGTTCCAGTGACACTTCTCTTGGGCAGTACTAGATATCCTTGGGCAGTACTAGATTGTTTATATTCATGCTAGTCCAAGGACTCTGTGAAGTCAGAAATTGGGATTCTTTTGTTATCGCTTATATTTGCAGTACCAAGACAGTGACTAGCACCCAGTACTGTGTGTGTCTGACGAATACTTGTTGACACATTGCTCATGGTCACACGCAACTTAGTCTTTTTGTTTCAGATTTTATTTTAGAATAAAACCAAGCAAAATAAAACAGAATAAAGCCAGTCAAAACAGAATAAAGACAATTAAGCAACACAGGATTTCAAAACAAGGTAGCAGGAAATCAACAATGGTTACCATAATACCTCTTGTCTTCAAAATATATGCCCATACCTTCAGACTTAGAAAATCAAACAAAACAGAATAAAATCAATAAAAACCAAACAATGAATATAATCCAGGATTTCAAAACAAGATAATAGTAAATCCAAAATGGCTACCATAATATGTCTTGTTATCTTTGAAATAGCTCCCTATACCATCAGATACAACAAAATCAAACAAGATAAAATAAAATAAAACCCAATCAAATAAAACAATGAGAATGATACAGGATTTCAAAACAAGATAATATGAAATTAACAATAGCCACCACCTTCAGAAGGAGATCCTCCATAGGTGCTACATTGTGTATTGTTATTCTCTGACTAGCTGATCAGACTACTGGCTTTAGACCTACAAAGTCAGTGAAACACTAAACACTACAAGCATTAATTTGTATTTTACCTCATTAGCTATCATCTCAGCCTGTGTTTCTTCAGATCAGACAGTCACTTACAGGGTGGGGTGGGGTGGGGGGAACATTGGTTCTTCTTGCGTCTCTGCCCGTGTGCTGCAAGAGGTTGGCGCCTGGCTTTCCCCTAGTCAGCCTACACATGGTGTCGACTCACAAGAGAGGGCTGGCATCTGACTTGCCCTCAGTCAGCCCGTGCGAGGCGCCACTCACAGGAGGTCTTAGTTTCTTGTTGACTTCATGCTCTCCTGCCCAAGTCAGTCTTTTTTGTTGTTGTTGTTCTTTCCAAAATAATATATGTTTGCAGTAGATAATGTTTACATTCTTTGTAAAGTCGGTATAATGTACATAACATTTTAATTTCTTTTTTCAACTGCCCCATTTCTTAATCTCCTTCCCATTTGGGAAAGATCTGTCCCCCTAGTTCCTATTATCTTTTATTTTCTTCTTTATTTATAATATGGGTTTCTCATATAAGAGAAATCATGTGGTATTTAAGCTTGTGTGTCTGATTTATTTCACTTAACATTATGGTCTCAAAGTGTAGCCATTTTCCTACAAATGCTAACTTTGGGCATTTACCACCACGCCTTGTTAGTCATGTGACCCTGGAGCCAGAAGTATTTTTGTGGTGTTTTTCTTTATGTGATTCTCTGCTCTTTCTTCTTTTGATGATTTTCTGACTTTCTAAACTTAAAACATTGTGATAATAGCATATACTTGAGCAATCATCATAAATTTGGAAGAAATCGAGAGGTATAATCCATGCTGTCATTTACGTCTTGGTGTTTTTTAATTTTACTCTTTATTAACTATCCCCAATGACAAGTATCTAACATTCCAGAGAAACTTATTCTATCAGTTAGCAGTTCTCAATCAAGAGTTTGACTAAGGATGAGAAAAAAATTTCAACAAATACTCTTATGCCTTCTTGTAATCTCTGTTGCTTCCCGGAATCACTTTCCATATCCCTGTAAAGTGTGAGTCCTATAACAGATGCCACAAAATTATGGTCATCTAATCAGTGTGAGGACTCTGTTGTCTTCTTTTAAATCACTTACACCGTAGTAGCATTGTGGTGGCTTGTTCCTTTGCTCCTTCACCTGACAGGCAGCCGCTGAGGTGTGGTAGGTCAGGACAGGAAGTGTGGCAGCGCCTGGGAGCCTGAGGGGAGGGAGGGATGGCTGCTGTCTTGTCAGAGCCATCTGATGGTTCTGATTTGTGCTGCAGTTACAGTTGACTAAAACCATCAAGTCCTTTCTCCATACGTGCTCTTCTGAAACCGTGGCTTTCCCACATCATATGTTTATACTGGACTTTTTGGCTCAGCAGTTTTCATGTGGATCCCAGATCATTTTGTCTGGTTAGATTCAGCACATTGTTATTGTCTGACAGGATCTTTTGAAATGATCCTCTTCGCTGTCTCTTTAAGCTTTGTGTTATATGACATTTGTTAAATTTTCCTTTTCTATCTTTTCACTCAGTTCATTGATTAAAGAATAATAAAATAAAACAGGCCTAAAGACAAAGCCATCAGACAACATCTGATAGCAGACACCAACAGAAGCATCTCTGCAGGGCAGACATTCATTCACCAGTTATCACACAGGTCCCCTAATCCTGTCCTAGAACTCCATGTGATTTTGTTCATTCTTGTTTAGTGCCCAGTCTCAATTACCAGTTCTGCATGTGGACTGTAAAAATCATGTCAAGTTGTTCTCCAGAAATTACTTTGTGTGTTTACAATTTTTTATTTTATTTTTTTGAGACAGGGTCTTGCTATGTAGTCCAGGCTGGCCTTGAATTTGGGGTAATCCTTCTGCCTCAGCATCAGTTCAGGAATCATGGGCATGCAGTACCACACCCGGCTCAGAGTATATTTTAAAATATCCACATAAGACAAGCTTTCAGGGTTTGCTAAACCCGTTAGATTCAATGATTACATAGTGCCATTGCTCCATAGGTTATTCAACTCCTTCTGCACCAGCCCGTTCTTTTTCAGAGCTGGCGATAGAACTTGACCTTGGGCTTGCTAGACAAGTGCTCTACCACTGAACCAGATCCTCAGCCCTGCCCCAGCCCTTTAACTTACGATTCTGATTTGGCCTCTGTACTTCAGGTGGTGGGTAATTAGTGCTCTAAAAAATAAAATAAAATAAACTGTTTGCAGCCAGTGGGAAGAATTTTTTAAAAGTACTGCTGGGGGAGAATCTAGGTAAAGTATAAAATTTACTTAGAATGGTAAGCAGATGAGAATAGTTAAGGAAACGCTGAAAAAGGAGACTAACAAGCTAATGTTTTACAAAAACAGGCATAAAACATGCTATAAAGTTAACAAGTTATAACATATTGTAGTTATAATAATATGGAAATGTGATCCTGACTCAAATTTGCAAACAAAGCAGTAAAATAGAGTAAAAACCTCAGAAATAGATTAAAAGTTGCATTAATGTATGATAACATTTGTTCAAATATGTGAGGAAAGGATGAATTATGGTTCTGTATCTGGGCAGAAATAAAATTTGGCCTTTGCCCTATGTTGTGAATTAAAATATATTTCAGATGGATAAAAGGTTTAAATATATACAAATATAAAAGTACATCATAAAACATATCTCATTTTAGCATAAAATCTGTTGAGGATACATATAAAATAAAATCCATGAAGTATGAAGATTTGACTATTTGAACTTTTGAAAACGTTAATGTCAAAAAATAACAAAAGCCATTATGTCAAAAAGCACAGTGTACAAACTAAAGCACAAATACTTTTTTTGTAATACATGACAGATTAATTTCCTTATAGAGAACATTCATAAATCAATAAATGAACACACTGATTTAAAATGGGAAAATAAATACAAACAGTAAACATTAGAAAAATTGTGACCATTTAGTATCAGAAGTATAAAAAAGCATTATTTTTCATCTTGAATTAGAGATTATAAGTAAATAGTATTATTTTGTGAAGAGGTTAGAGGGAAACAGGCCTTCACACAATATTGTTACCTTTCAGGAAGAATATATATCAAAGTCTGTTAAGTCATGTTACTCTTTGAGTTGGCACTTTCCTTCCTGAGAATTTATCATAACACAGTAATTATGAGTGCATGCATCTAAGTGTCATTTGTTACAGGGGAAAGAATTGGAAACTATCTGAATGTTTAACAAAGAGAATTGGTTAAATAAATCATGGTACATGGACACAAGGGAATATACTATGTAGCTATTTAAAATTTATGATTTAGAACAGGAACTACTGGTAAACTTAGTCTCCCATACACTGTGATTGATTGGTGTTTCTTGGACCACTGTTTGGAGAAGGATTCTGAGCCGGGTCTGGGCTCAACAAGGAAAGTGCTTTGGTGCTGAGGGATTTTACCACAGGAGGAGAATGACTGGCAGGAGTGTGTCAGGTTTGGCTTGTCCTATTATAGAAGAATGTTTAATGAGTAAACTATTCAGTCTATATATATATTTTTCTTTTTTTTGTCTTTTTCGTTTTTATCGGTACTAGGGATCGAACTCACGACTGCCTGCTTGAAGGCAGGTACTTACGCCACTGAGCTAAATCCCCAGCCCCTTATTCAGTCTATATTAACAACTACAATACTATACTTGAGGATAGAACTTTATACTGAGTTTTCTGCGGACCCGGAAGTGCGTCCCGTGGAGTGAAGGTTGCAGCGCTGCGGGAAGGAGCCTGAAACAGGAGAGAAGGGTTCGAAAATAGCTGGTATTCAGGGTCGGGAGACATTCGGGGGATGTGGCCTTAGAATTCTCCCAGGAGGGGTGGAAATGCCTAGACCCTGCTCAGAGAACTTTATGCTGCAGAGGCTTTTTTTTTTTTTTTTGGAGATGATCTTAATAAGCTTACCCAGGCTGGACTCAATCTTGGGATCCGCCTTGCCTCAGCCTTCCAGAGTACTGTAATTACAGGCCTGTACCACCACACCACACCTGGTTACACACTCCTTTTACATGCGAGCCTTTGTTCAAGTGCTGTCTGTTTTTGTTCTTTACTCTGCAATAGACCTGTGAGACAGATAGCATTATTGTCTGCATTTGTAAGTGAAGAAGCTGAGACAGAGAAAGGCTAAGTAAGTGGCTAAGCCAGGGGCAAGCCCAGGCTCCCTGTTCCACAATCTGTTTAACCACTCTCTCCTCTCCAGCATGCTCAGTCAGGTATTGGTCAGTTATTTTACTTGGATTAACTCATTTCCTTCTCAGAATACATGTCCTGTCTTCTTCATTGAAAGCTTAATGGGCATTTCTTATATGTCAGACCCTGGGAAAGGGCATGCAGAGTGAATGCAAAGTAGTTTTGTTCGTAGTGCCTGGGCAGAGGTTTGCTGAAAGGTTTAGTTGTGGGAATGTAAGTGAGCTATTATGTTATGGAAAATCTGATAGTGATTACAGAATGCCAGAGTGTGTAGATCAGCCTGGCTTGGAACTTGGAGGAGACCTGAGGGAAGGATGGTTTCTTTGGGATAAGGCAGAAACTGTCTTCCTTTGGGAAAGGAGGATAATTAATTGGTTCTTGATCTGAAGAGAGAAGTAAGAGAAACCCTTTTTGGGTTAGAAGAATAGGTAGTTCAAGGTGACAAAATGAATTGCCACACCAGCGGGTGATGGTAGCTAACCTAGAGGACTGGTGGGCAGATCATTCAATGCTGCAGAATGCTTTAAGAGCCTCTGAAAGGCAGCTGTGACTGAAGGAGTGAGGGGAGCCCTGTAATGAGATCTGAATCCAAGATTGATTTTTGTAATGAGGAAATCGATTTCCCAAGGAAATTGTGTGACAGTATGATGTTTGGATGAGCGTACTTCCTGGTTGGTCTGTTGTAGACACTTTGACAGATTGTCTGTTTGTCTAGGTTATGTTGCTATTTGCTCCTCATCACTGATAGTGCCCCTTTCCTTTCAATGATGCTGTTTTATTCTTCCCCCCTAGGTTCATGGAATCTGAGCTGGACCTAAATGACATCATTCAGGAGATGCACGTGGTGGCCACCATGCCAGACCTGTACCATCTTCTGGTGGAGCTGAACGCCGTGCAGTCACTTCTCGGGTTGCTAGGACATGATAATACAGATATCCTTTCAGATCTGTCCTCAGTAGAAGGCTGACTTTGGAAGAAATACTGTTTGCTCTCTTCTTCTGTCTGTCTTTGTGTGCTGTCACATCCAGTGTTCTATTTCCATTCTGATTTTCTTCCATTTTAAAACACATGCTATTCTTTACTTACTGGGAAATCTTGTTTTTATCTGTTAGCAAATTTTAGGCAAATGATTGCTCTTATTAATACTAATATTTGATGTTTATGTTCTTATATTAGCAACGTGCATTTTCAGGATCTAAATTTGGAGGCCCCTCACTGAGACAAGGCCATATTTGACTGTGTTGGTCTAGACATCATTCTGCTAACAGATGGCCCAGTAGCAGAGTAGTTGTGACCAGAGGCAGTGAACTGTGGTAGAAAGCACATTGGGAAGTTCAGATAGGGAAGCTCATCTGTTTTTCCCATTGCGATATTCCAGTTCTTAAAAAAAAAAAAAGCCTGGGACTCCAGTAAAGAGCATTTCATATTTGTTGGACGAGCATTAGACCTAAACAGACAAGCTAGGTTTGATTCCCGGCTTCATTTATTGTATAAAATGTGATGCCCTTCTATACCTTCGTATTCTCATCTGTACAAGTAGAGTTAATTGATTTTGCTTTTCAGTGTTATTGAGAAAGTCAAAGAAATTGTGTGTCTAGTACTTGATTCCTAATACATGGTAGGCACTTAGCAAATGTTCTTTATAGCTGAATTTGAGTTGTGACATCCAAAACCATTTTATACTTTGTCTTACTCATCCGATATCTTATAGCTTAAATGTGAAAGGTTTTTGATATACCTGTGGATGGGGTTATGTTCATTAAGCCAAATTCTCTTCCAATGGTTGTTCTGTTTGAATCCAGATCTCCAAAGGTAAAAGACAAATGTAGTTAGTCTGCTTGAGTGATATTCATGGGGAATCTGCTGCTGCTTCATGTTATTTTCATCTTTCCAGTAATCTCTCTCCTGAGAGCATGTTTGACTAGGTTCTTTCCTGTCTGATAATTCTCATAGAAATAAATCAGTGAACAATTTTAATGTAGGCTTCTTGAAGGGCAATCTTAAGGCATTTTTGGTGCTTCATAAAATGTTAGACAGTATTAAGAATTGCTCTACCAGTTCCCAGATTGATGACTGTGTTTACCAGGCTCGCTGTGGGGTTCTGGGTTGTACGGGCACCCTATTTCACTAGCTTGTTTCTGGGTGGTAGGCTCAGTATACAGTCTCACGAATTTCTCCAGTAGACTGTCTCAAGTGCTGTTGTATACCAGATGCTGTACTAGTCCCTGGGGATTCTTAACTGTACTGGGTGCTCATGCAACATCAGACAGTATACTAGTATAATCTTTGTCAGTTTGTAACTGAATATTATACACTGAGTGACTGATAAGTAGCAGGAATTTATTTCTTATACTTCTGGAGGCTGGGAAATAACAACAGCAAGGCCCAGGCAGTTTTGAGTCTGTTGAATGTCTGTTTCCTGGTTCATAGACAGCGTTTTCTTGCTGTTTCCTCACTTGGTGAAAGTGGTAAGGGAGGGTCATGGATCTAAGATGCTAATCTCTATCCTCACGACCTGCTCACCGCTCAAAGGTCCCATCTCCAAATACCATCACATTGCAAATCAGTCTCAAGTGGGTACTTACCATATGACTGGCTCTATTGAAGGTCCTACACAGTCTGCACAGATTCAGGGACTGAGTGTTCTAGTTGTGACTTCACCTATCAGTTCATCTAATAAAAATTTCAGAATCTGATCTATCTTCCAGTAACTAAGTCCAGTACCTTGTTTCCTTAGTGACATTCCTGAGGCCAGATGTTGGACAGATGTTGAGGTGGAGGGTGCACTCCAGGTCTCTGGTTTCCTGGGCACTGTTTTTCCTAGAGTCCTTGCATTTACTACATTACTGACAGCCGACTTACCCTGTATATTAGTACTGAAATTGATTTTTTTCCCCTTCTGGTAATACAGCTTTTTTTGTTTGTTTGTTTTTTTCTGCTAAATTCAAAGTAATAGTAGCAGCTTCCTGAAGATGCTGACATTTTGCTAATTCACCAGCCCAGTTCCTGCTGGGGAAAGACTGACAAGGGGGGGGGGGTGCTGTTCAGCATTGGCACACTTAAACAGCAAGGGCACAGATGCTCCCAGTTGTTACGTTCTGGTCTTTAAAGAAGAAGAGCACGTCCTCCCGTGAGATCTCTGACAGAGTACCATTTCCTTCCTGTTTTCTCAGAGTTCAGCTGTTTTCCCCCTTGTATGCTGACCTCCATCCAACTGCCCTCATGATATTTTTAAAAATCTGATTTTTAATCTTCCCCACATCGCATTTAAAGTGCATTTGAAATTTTTTAATTACCTTAATTTTAATTAGATGCAGCAATTAGGGTAAATGTCATCCTTCTCAGAGTGTAGTTTTTCTTGAAAGTGATTTTAGGAAAGGGTAGGCCCGCTTGACTTGCAGCTGACATAGCCTCTGCTGGGTGGAATGTGGATCTCCCTGCGGCCGTTGCACTCTGTTTCTTGTCTTATCTGTGATCTATAATGGAAATTTTTCTTCAGGAAACGGTTGTTAACAGTTTACTGTTGTACAGCTGTAACTGCCTGAAACACCTTACCATGAATAAACAATTTCATGGCAGTCATGACTTAAATTCTTAATCTTTTTTAACTCTTCATTTATCAACGTGGACCATACATGGCTGGTTATGTTCCCAGCAAGCAAAGGTCATCTTTGCTTTGTCCTTTTTGGAGGAAACATAAACTATAGGGATTTTAATTGGATCAGAGGCTGGTTTGTTGTAACCTTAAGCGGCAGAGGATGTGAGAAAACAGCTTGTGCCTTGTCCTTTCAACCGTGAGAAGCTGTTCCAGAGTTTATTCTGGCGCTCCGCATGGCTGCTGCTGGTGAGGGCCTGTCAGCGCTTGTATGCTGTCTCCCCCCTGAAAGAGGCTGAGCCCAGCCTTGACCGTGCCTTGGCTGCAGAGTGGAATTGTGGTCTGTGAAGAGCTCTGAGGAGGGGGTGTACACCTCACACAGTATTGAAGTGTTGCTCTAAATGCATTCGAAGGGTGCAAAAGGTGGAATCCAACAGCTGCTGCCTTTTCAAAACATTGCTTATTAAAAAATAGTTCCCTGTAAAGTGAATCATTTAAACATGTTTAGAACCCTCTCTTTTTTTTGTAAACTATTTGAAGTGTTTCTAAAGAAAAATAAAACCAAAGGTACATCTAAAGATGTTTCCTTAAGACATTGTTTAAAAACCAGTTTACCAGTTTTTGTGGCTTAGCTTAAGCCATATCTCTCAGTTTGCCTAAAAGAACAAGGAGGAATAAAGATAAAACTCCAGATGATGGTGGATCAGCCCTTCTACCTCCAAAAGAAAGAAAGAAAATAAATCACCATGGTACCTTTTTTTTTTTTCTTTTGAGACAGGGTCTCACTGTGCAGTTCAGACTGATCTCAAGCTTACTTTGTAGCCCAGGCGGGGCTCAAACTTGCAACAATCCTCCTGCCTCAGCCTCCTGAGTGCTGGGATTACAGATGTGCACCAACGCACCATATTCTTAGCTATCTTGTTTTTGTATCATTTATCATATTCTCAGCTTGAGTGACAAGTCAGTGGAATCCTTTCTAATATCTTTTTGGTAGATTGGTGGTGTTTATTGGGGTTCTCTTTTCTATGATAAGCATGTTGTATACTATGAAAGAAACAAAAAATAATAGCCATAGATGAGAGCGAAACATTCCATGTGCAGTAAGTGTCCTTGGAGAGGTTTGCTAAGGCATTGGAGGTCTGAGAAGTAGATCATCCGTGGCTTTGCATGTAGTCAGGGACTTGAGGGTTGGAGATGGGAAGCTTCAGATGGATTTGAAGACTAGAGAGTGTTTCAGGTTTGTTTATACAGTCTCTTCCTTTGCAATGGAAACGGCCATTCTTCATAAGCTATACACTGATGTTGTTTTGGTGGTTGTTCATGTAGCCACTGGAGAATGTCAGGATTTCAGGCCCAAAGTTTTATTTTTTAAAACAGTCATCACAACTCTCCAGAAAAGTCCCACATTTAATAAAAAAGTCAAGTAATCTATGCCAAATTTATTCAGTCTCCTTTCTCTCTATTCTTTGTTGAAAGTGAGATCTTATTATAATGTTAACTTCAGTGATCAATGCTATGCATTGTGTAAAAACATGCAAGAAGTAGTATGGGTTTTATTAAGTCATCAGTGCTGATGGGACAGCTCCTTTCCAAGTGTCATGATTTCAAGGAGTGGTGAGACCACTGCCTTCTAAATTGCCATTTCTTCTCCTCAAACTCTAGGAAGCCAAGAGGGCTTGCAGAGTTGTCCAGTTAGATTTTGTGAACAATTACTATGAGAATTTGGAAAAGAAGGAGCAGGTAAGTTTTTAGATCAAGATGGACCAACTGAACTTGAGCAGTTTATATTTGAAAAGACTAAAGTGAAACAAACTGACTGAGACACAGACAGTGTGTACAGTAGTCTAGGGTGCCTTGTGTTACAGGCACCCTAATGAGCAAGAATGGGGCTGGGGAGCGTTTGAGCCTCCTACGGGGCTTTTTTTCTAATTGGACTGGGAGGTGGTTGGTTATTGCTCCATTGCTTTCCTGTAAGCCCTGTCTAACAGTGCCTACATATTTTGAGCTGTTGTTTTACTAGGATCGATGCTCATTCTGGTATTTCCAGAATCAAAATTACACTTGAAAGAATTAACTTCGTTTTTTCTCTTCTGCCATCTAACTGCATTAATACTATGTATTGATAAGCTAACTTTTTTAAAAAGCTAGTTAAATATGCTCTGAAGAAAAGCAGATTAGATAAAAAGTACTAGAATGGCAGTGTAGGGAAAGGACCTCTTAACACAACTTTTGATATTAATTATGGGCTTTAGGTGAAGTATAGCCTGCTTTGAATATTTCTCTTGCAACATAGTAATGCCACTAGCCTTAGTATGTACTTTATGTTGAGTGAACACATCTTGTCCATGTGATCTAGAATTGGAATCAAAGTTAGAGTTAGGTTCATTCTAGGTACCTTTGTGCCAGCTATTGCAAAAAGAGAAAAAGACCATTTTGTCTGTGTTTGACATTCATCTACATTAAGGGAGCTATGTTCTAGTCACTGCCCTGTCTAGGAATAAAAACTTTCAACTCTACATTTGTTACATTAAATCAGTTATATTCTCTGAATTCAGACTGGTCAATTTTCTTGAAATCTTTTGGAAGTGACTTTTTAAAAAAAGCCATCTGCTTAAAACATCTTAATTCTTTTTCTTCTGCCTTTTTTCTTTGTTTGTGTGTTTGTTTAAATAACTGTGTTCCTGTGGACACATCTCATTAGAAATTAATAAGATCACAACAGTTAGTTGTGATACCAAAGCTTTAAGTGGGATTAGGCCAAAATATAAATATCAAGAACCAAAAAATAGAAGTAAACAACACTCCTTCTCGGAGACCATTTGGGCCATTGTTATAGACCATTTCTTACCCAGCTAGTTTTTTCTGCTTCACTGTTGCTATACTAGTTGATTGTCCTAGTAGTGGACAGGTGAGAGAGAGTGAGTGGGGTGGCCTTTCTACTCCACATGACAAAATGGGCTATCAAAAACTGTGTGTTAGTAATTTGCAGAGAGACAGGTTCTCTGTTTTCCTATTATACTTGGACAGGAGAACCTTTTACCTTGTGAAATGAAATTGTAACTACAGTGGAAAAGCCTATCACCCGTGCCCAGTGGCTGCTTGTAAAGAAAGGCTGGATGGATGGCAGACCATGCTGAATTTTCTCTTCAAGACTGAGAGTTTGTTCATCTGTCAGTCTTTAATTTTGGTTCTTGTTTCTCATTCTGGTATTCCACTGACCTTCTGTCTTTTGGATTATATATATTACCTCGGAATTGGTGATCACATTTATGGTTTCATTACTGCCTTGGTGAAATGCTGTTTTATAAAAGTTGAGAGTTTATGTAAAAACCAGTTAGTGATAGTGATAAAAACCAGTTGATGAGATGTTTACCAGACTTATTGAGTAATTGATTTCCTTTTGATTTCTCAAAAGAGGCAGGAAAGTAGGCAAGGAGATAATGAAACAGATTTTCCTTGGTAAAAGTTAGACTTATTCTATATAAAATCACCAACATTGTAAAAACATTCCCTCACCCCCCCCCTTTTTTTAAGTTCCTAGGTTTAATGTGACACATTTGTGAGCATGGTGTAAAACTAATGAAAAATGTGATATCTGGCTCATAGGCCGTCTGAGGCTGAAAAAGAACTCTGTCAATCTAAATGTCTATAGCACAGCTGAAATGTAAAGTTAGATCTTCCCAACCACTGTAATCCAGAAAAGAGGACCGTGTTGGGTCTAGGCCACTACTGTAGATTTTAGAGGGTTTGGAGACACAAAGCCAATGGTGAAGGCTTTGGATGTTCTTTGAGAAGATCTAGCAATCTGTTAGTGCTTTCATATTTGTGAAAATTTTAACTTGCTAGACCAGACATCTTTCATTTCTTATAGCTACACAGTAAAATGGCCTGAGTAATGGCAGATACCATTACTCCCATTGTGCAGATAAGAATATTATACTATAAACTGCAAGAAAATATAGGAGCTTGCGTAAGAGTACATGGTTAGTAATAATTATGTGGTCATTTAACTCACTAAAGATGTGAAGCAAAAAGGAGTATACGTGACTCTTGTCCTTAGGCTTGCTCTGACTTCTGTCTGTGGCTCTTTCAGATATACTGATGCTCCTTAATTTACAGTGGGAATTGTCTCAGTAAGCTCATTGCTAAGCTGAAATTAGCGTAGTTAAAAAATGCATATAATATACCTAATGTACCAAGCATAGCTTAGCAACACTGTATACTGTGCACTGTGGAGCATCAGTTGTTCACTGTCGTGGTCACTTGGCTGAATGGGAGCTAGGACTTGCTGTTTCTGTCCACCATCACCCCACAGCATATTGGATTGCATATCAATAGTCCAGGAAAAGATTAAAATTCAGAATTCTAAGTCTAATTTCTACTGAAATCATACTGTTTTTGCACTGCGATGTCAAAAATTTTAAATCAAACCTTCATAATTTGGGGATCGTCTATACTCCACCTGTCTCTTAAAGCCATTTAATTAATAATTGTCAGATACTATGAGTATTTAATCATGCTTGGTGCCACTAAAGGGATGTAATGATAATACTTACTGTGTGCCTGATTCAGTTCCTTGTCTCATACATAGCAGACCTCACAGTGGATGGCTGAGTGAGTGGGTAGGTGGATATGTGAATGGAATAGTATTTTAGATGGGGGTGATGTTAGTGTTTTGTTCTTTTTCCTGAGATTTTAATAGCTTATGATGGAAATAAAGGATAACCTTGCTATGGTTGCAGCAACATTAATAGGTAGAAGTATTTCAGCCTAGCTGTGTTTAAACCTGGTGTATCTTCCCCTCATGCATTAATATGAGATGTAGTGGCAGTTGTTCTTACAGGAATCGGGTGGATCTAACATCTCTCTTAAACTATTGTAAGGTTTTTAGCTAAGTTAATCACTCTGAGCTTTTAGCTTTCTTATCTGTGAAGGAGCATGGCACGTGGCCTGATGATAGCTTTGAAAGATGGTGGCTTTTATGATAGAGACTATTTCAGTCTTTAGAGAGTAAGAACTCGTTCCTGCTAGTGGGGTAGCTTTTGGGTTTAGGGGTTAGTTGGTAGTAAGGAAGTTTTATTTTTAAATTGATTCAAGTGATATGTGTGTTTCGGTTTACTAATATTAACTATGATATGTGGTCTTTTGTATCAGCAGCCTTCAGGTTACTTGGTTAATGAAGACTGTAAGCATGGAAGATTTTTGTCAGAAGACCTTGCTCTCAGTGTGGGTAAATATTGCTTTTAAGAGTGAAAGAGTAAGATAAAGAGAGCTTAATTACTTTCTCATCATGGTTGGCTAGTCAGTCAGAGATGAGGAAAGCAGACCTCCCAAGTAGTGTTTCCTTCAGTGAAAGATGTTCAATCTTTATCATCAGTTACCAATCTCTGTTGTTCCTGTTAATGTCCTGAGTCTTTTTTTTTTCCTCTAGTGCTAGTGAAACTAGCCCTAGGTCTGAGCCTTGTGTCACTTCTAGCTTCTGTGCTCTGGCAGCTTTGGAAAAGGTCTTCTCTGTTTAGGCTGCCCGCGTGCTCCCCAGTGACTCGCCTCTAGCCTCCTGTCTGTCTCCCCAGCTCACTCTCACGGTGCAGTAGTGCGTCCTGCACCAGCCCTGAAGTTATTCTTTCAGGGTGTCACTTTTTGAAACACTTACAGTTTTCCCCCCAGTTTTCTTCCTCCCCTTCTCTAAATGCCTCACACATCCAGTTTCTCCCACTTTTGCTTTCTCACTTGATTGCCTTCATCTTTTTAGCTGTCTGTTTTCTGACCTGTCTTTTTCTAGTAAGTCATTCCGGTCTCATAGCTGAATTTAGGATGTCTGCGATTCACGATATCTATCTTCTTCATTTGTTACATGTTGGTTATTGCCTGCGGCATAGACTTTTTAAAAATGTCTTTGATTCTTTAAGTTCATCATTTTACAGTGAGGAGACTGAGGCCCAGAATGAAGAACAGATATGTTCTTATCACCTTGTGGTGTTTTATTTATCATGGGTGTTGAGTAAATGTAGGTTGATGGAACAAGGGGTATGTGATGCATCAGAGAGAGAGCAAGCATGTGTGAGGAGAGCAAGAGGGTGAGTGTGTGTGTGTGTGTGTGTGTGTGTGTCCGTCCAGGTAAGGGAACGACAGTTAGGAATTTAGTTCTGTTTTCCAGTGTACTCTTTTCTCTCCTTTGTGTTTCCTTTTCCTTGTAGTCCCCCCACTTTCTGCCATTTTTACCTAGTATTTACTTCCCCCCACTTACCTTTCTGTATGTTCACAGCAGTGTGACCTTTGAGAGAGAATAGTTGGCCCCCCCATAATCTCATGGAAATCCTTCCCTCTGCATCCAACCAATTTGTCCCTGACCTGCCTGCTCTCTGAGGCTCCTTGGTCAAACCCAACCACCATTACTGCTGTCAAAGGGGAATTGTACCAGGATTTGTTTTGAGGTAGGGTTAAAGATGTTGGCCTATTTATCACTGGAAAAGCAGCCTCCCAAGTGATCTGTGCAAAGTTTGGAGATTTATGAAAATGTTGTGAACCTATGGACTAAATTACCAGAAGTGGACTAAATTCAAGAAAGAAACTGAGTCAGTTAACAACATTTACTAAACACCCACAGTGGGAGGAAGCTTATTAAAGAGAGAAATCTAGAATGTATTGAAGATAAATGATGATAAAACAATTTGATGAAGAAATAGAACTGAAGATTTTCATAAAGCATGGTGGGACTTCATATGTATGTGAGACCCTTAACAAATTCCACATGTGTCCATCGCTGTGGTTGACCTACTTCAGGAACTAACTGATATAGACACCCTCCACGAGAGTGAAGAGGGGGCAGAAGTTCTCATCGACGCTCTGGTAAGTTCCATGCCCTCCACCCAGCGTTTTGCAGGTATGGGTTGTCACCCCACCTTTATGTCTAAGTAGCATCAGTAGAATTCTGTGGCAAGGCCTGACAGAATGAGGGGGATAAGGAATAGAAATGCAAGCTGTGAGGTACTTTATTCCACGGGACTCTGTTAGGTAAGAGGCTGAAGAATGCCAGCATTTATTAAATATCTGCTGAAGGCAGGGCATTTCTCATTCTGTCCGTTCTGCTTAACCCTCACCGCATCCTCACAGATGGGTCTTACTGCTGTTATTCCCATGTACGGTTCTGAGGCCGAGGCTTAGAAACAACTTGCCTGTGGTCACAGAGCTGGAACCTGAGCCTTTATTCTCTTTGACTTCACGTCCCCCTCCCCACATTGTGTTGCTCTTGACCTTTTTATAAGAGCTTTTGTAGGTATTTGTTTTCTCTTGGAGGCTTTATAATCCCAAGTGCCAGTGAAGGCAGGTATTACAATACTACTTACTTTATAGGTAAGTCATGAGAAAGGAATTGGAGCATGTTAAAACCAGAACAACCCTTATAGCTCCTCTAGGCCAGAGTTTATTCCCTTCCTATGGAAGTGGGAGCCGTGTAATACCCACATTTCTTTCTGTGAACCTGGGCCAGGCCTCCCACTCTTCTTCAGCCACTGCTGCAGGCAGCAGCCAGTCCAAAGGGGTTGGTTCGTGAGGTGAGCCTTATTGGCCGGGTCCCATCGAGTTTAATCACCTGATGTGTACGGAAGCCCAGAGGCCGTCCTGAAGCCTTCCACTGGGTCATTCACCCAGTCCTGTGACAACAAAAGAACCTGCATGTTCTGATCCTCACCACAGTTCTTTTCTCATCACAGCAGACTCCTCCCACTGGGGATCAAAGAGGGCTCCAGGCTGAAAAGATCCCACAGCCAGCTCTCATTCTACCTATGGAGCTCTGTCCACTCACCTACCTGGCTGTCTCCCTGCTCTGGTTCTGTGGGTCCCCTTCCTCCTTCCCTTTTGTTGATTTCTCCTGCCTTTTCTTTGTGACATGAGTAGCAGCATGTACTTTTGGGTATTTTGTTTGTTTTCTCAGTATTGCAGATTGAATCTAGGACCTTTACACTGAGCTAATACCCACTCCTTTTTTATGTTTTATTTGAGACTGAGTCTTGATAAGTCATTAAGTATAATTTGGACAGTTTATCAGCAATGACTGTAGTCACTTGGGTTCGAAGCATCTGGATGCTTGTTAGGCAGCTTCTTGGCCTCCCCCGTGACCTACTGCCTCAGATGGGCTGGGTCAGGGTCCCCAGATGATTCGGAGACCCACTGCTCCACAGCCCACCCTCTCGTCTCTCTTTCTCTTGAGGTCTTCAGCACCAGAAACTCCCTCTGTGCCATCTTACTGCTCACACTTGGTGTGAATGAAGGGACGGTGCACCTACTTGACGTGAAGAACCATTTCAGAGAGAGCAAGGCTAGAGTCCAGCAGGGCTGTGTTCAATTATGATGGAAATTTCTATGACCATTTTTCTTTCAAGCCCCTTCCTTGAGTGAACTGCTGCTTCTGTAAGATTCAGGACCTTTACTTTTCTTTGGAAGCACTGTACAGAAAAGGATGCTGCTGGGGTGTCCTTTTGTGTTGAGGAGCATCTGAAGGCTGCCTTGCTCCTGCACTGTATCCCCACTGTGTCATTTCTGCAGTCTTCCCTTCCAGAGGTTAATTACGGTGGCCCTGAATGAGCCTTCCTGCCTAGTCCCTGGGCTGGTTTTAATTACCATCCTTTAGCCTGTGTGAATGGCAGAGGCAAGAGAGGAACAGCTAGCCTGGCTGCTGTTTGTAAAACCTGCCCAGGAACAGCAGTTCACACAAAGCCCCTTTTGTGTCGTCCATGTTGCCAAGCCCACCGACAGAGGCTGGATCTTGCAGATTTTATTGTTTGTTTGGAAAGAAACAGTTCATCTTCAGTCTTGGGAGCCATTAGCTAGCTGCTGTATATGGCTTTCTGTTTGTTTCTTTTTTATGATTTTATTATTTTTAAGATTTTGATTCGTAGCTTTATCCTGGAGGGGCTGGTGTGAATCACATATATTGTACATTCCAGACTCTTAATATGGTATTGGCTTCTCTGCAATGAGTTGAAACTATCAGTAAATATCAGGAAGCAGAACTGGAGAGTGGTCTTCCATTTGTTTTTCTCTACCCTTCTGCCACATTGGGGAAGAAGTTTGATAAGTATTCTCATATTACAAGGGTTGAGTTGCCTTCATAGTTTTAATTTGGGGCCAATATTAGAGGCCTAGAATTGCTTGAGCAGAGGCTAGAGGGCATGGCAGAATTTATTGTGGTGTGCAGTTTGAGGTTATTGCCTTAGTCTTTTTCCCAGTTGAAAGTCCCAAGCAATAGAACAGCACATTTGTGGGGAAAGAGTGCTGTCCTAGCATTCTTGAAGACCTTTGAGGTTTTAAATTTTGGTTCACATTCACTGCTGTTCTTTATACAAAGGACAAATAAATATTTGTGCTTTGGAGCAAGTCAGTCTGGAGCCTGGAAAATGGACCCAGATTTTCTGGAGAGTAATGTGAGGGTGTATTGCTTTAATGGCATTTCTCTGCTTGTCTCTCCAAAGACAATTTGGAACCCCTTGAGAGTCTCAGTGGACTACAGTTATTTTTCTATGTAATAGTCCCCAAACTTACCATGAGATTGCCTTTGAGCTCCTGCCTACAGCTTGGCACGCCCTGCTTCTCTGGGGCCACTTGGGCTACTTCTCATTGCTGAAAGCTAACTTAAACCCTAGCTCTTCTGACTTTTTTCCAAACTTACCACAGAATTTGTGTTCAGCAGAATTTATGTTTCTTATCACATTGTACATCCTGGAACTATCACATGGGACTGTAGACCTTTACTTCTAAGTTTGTGTTTCCTAAATTATTATCCCCTTGCACAGGATTGTCTTGAGTAGTGGCTCTGTCCCATACCAACTCTGTTTCATGAGAAAGTTACTCTGTACTCTTTTCTTGTCTACAAAATGGAGATACCAGTATCAAAGTGAGGAGTAAATGAGATATATAATAAGCCTTACAGCAGGATAGCACAGATAAACACCCAATAAATATTGGCCATCATTGCTCTACAGGTATCATGCCTGGCAGGTAGATATTAAGTACTTAGTAAATGTCAAGTTGATATGATAAATATCATCTGCTGCACAGTGAGATATTTGTGACTGTTTATTGAACTTAAACACTTTTTCAGCTCAAAAAATGTTTCAGAAAACATTTTGTATCCATTTCAAAAAAATTTGGATGACACGGACCTAAATAAGACATGCCAAGATAGAGATTCAGTTTTTTCTTCAAAGAGGAAGAAATAAGTAGTGATATGATAATACAAGACAGAATATTGAGAACAGCTGTAAGGTGAAGGCCTCTGTGGAAGGGAAAGCGAATTCTGATGGGGAATAATCAGGAAGGACTACAGAGTTAGAGGAGTACTGACCGTGGCCTCTGTGAGGTGTCCTGCCCAGAGCAGGTAGGAGTGTGGCTGGGTTGTAAAGTTGGTAAGGTGACAATGTTGCTGTAAGGGGTTCACAGGGGTGGCTTTACTGGTGAGAGCACGGGCACTACTCATTCTTGCCTTTAGGTAACCCTACCCAAGTGTTCAACTTCGAGCCCCAGATTGACTGGCATTATATTTGTGCTGCTCAGGCATGGCTGAACTAGGCAGACTTCGTGTTGCTGTAAGGGTGCTTACTGTGTAAATTTCTGGATCCTGCCTCTTCCTCTTTCTATTAATTTCTCACCTTAAACTGTATTTGTTCCTAAGCGAAATTCTCTTGGTCATTTATTCATTAAATGTTTACCGAATGCTTGACATGTTCCTGATTCTAGGAGCCTCGATAGCTATATGGCTGACAGAGTTCTCTGCTTCTGTGGAGCTTCTATCTGAATGTAGTAAAAAACAGTAAATAAAGAAACAAAACTACTAGATGGTGATTCTCTGTCACATGGAAAATTCAGGTGGAGTAATGTGATGCTGAGTGCCAAGAAGTTGGGTTAGAAGTCATTGCCAGGAAAGGCCTGAGAGAAGAAACGAGTGATTCAGAGCAAGGTGGGACGAGGGCAGAGACTAAAACAAGAATGCACTCGACCTAATGAAGGAAAGCGAAGGCCACCTCAGGAGAGTGTGGCCAGGTGAGGGGAGAACAAGGTCAGGATCAGACGCTGTCGGCCGCAGTGGGCTGGGTGGGGTGCAAGTGTGGACAGGGCTAAGCAAGGAAATGGTGATGCGGTCAGAGCAAACGTTTCAAAAAGACCACTCTGGCAGCTGCCGTAGAGAGTGGGTTGGTAGTGCAAGAGTATAGTTAAAATATCATTAGGCAGTTGACAGTGCGCCTGAGTTTTGCATGATGACCGTATCACCACATGGATCCTCGAAACTTGTTTGATGAAGAATCAATGTGTGTTCAGTTTTATTTTTTACTTTTTCTAAATATAAAATTTTGAAATGCCTAAAAGTTAGAAAAACTCCAATCTAAGTCTGAAGGAAACATGTTGTTAGGTTGTACCAGACAGAACCTCTCATCTGTCTGTATTTCCTCCTTTTCTCTTATGTCTGTTCTCTTTGGTCAAGTGCCAAAAAATGTCTGGTCGTGCCTTTGTACTTTGTTTCAGTAAGACCTGCTGCAATATTGTTTGAGAAACCTGCTAACAAGCAGAAATAACTAGAGACTTATCAGGAAACGTCAGGCCCAAGACAGTCCTGATTTCCAAGGCTAGCGTTGCTCTGGCGGATGCTTTAATCCCTGAGCAGGATTTGTTTTTAGTTTCAGACTTCGTCGCAGGTCCAGAAAATTGAAGGTAGACCCAAGGGGTTAGAGGGAGTAGGATAGAATGCTAATTTGTACTTCTTACTAGGCTATATCCAGAGCTATGCATAATATAAATACTTTTCCAAGGGTTTTCTGAGCTAAATATGTTTTGACTGCTTTTGGCTATCCTGCAATCAGATAAAATTGCATTTAACCCAGCCTAACATAAAGCTTCACACTTTGCAAGCTTAAAAAGGCTGCCTGTTAGAAGTTAGATTTCTATAACAAGAAAAAAGATTTTCCGCCAGCTAGACACCCATTATCCATAACCATTCAGCTCTAGGATTTAAGCAAGTTGCTCTCTGTCACTGTTCCTGCCACTTTCCAGACAGCAGAGAATCAAGGAAAAGAGGAGGAAAAATAATGCAGATAAAACAGCAATCAGGAAGCGAAACTGGTGAAGCAGTTCGCAAAACTGATGAGTAATGTTACACGTGGCAGAGTTGCGGTTTCTGCTGCTGTAGGATTCAGGGGATTATAAGTCAATCAGCGATTTAGGGAAAAACAAACTGTGACATGGTTCATAGTTTTCCCCTAGATGTTTTTCTGTTTTCTCTCACCGAAATTGTCCAATTAATTAAGGAAAGCATTGTAGAGGATTTCTTGGGTAAAACTGCTAGCTGTGAGATTTGAAAGGAAGATTGTATGTGTGTCTCCTGACAGAAGAAGGGAGAACTCTTCCTTGTATTTACAAGCATTCTAAGTTTTGGCATCAGAATCCTCTTCAGTGGGATCCTCTCTTTGCTCTTCCTCTAAGGCACAAGGGAGAGCCTAGGAAAGTCTGATCTGCATATGATCCAGGTGTTGTGAATTGGTCAGTAATTTCAGGTTTTCCCCTTGTCCAGATGTTTTCCTTGAATTTCACCCAGAAGGAACACAGACCCCATTTCAAGATCTAGCCCTTTTGTCATAGTTTCTACCCACAGGCTGTTTGAAGCAGACCTGTAGAGTGCCCATCTCACACACAAGTACTCAGGAAGTATTGGTTGAATGAGATCATTTCCTTTCTCTGTCTTCTTTTTGCTTTCTGTCTTCTCAACAAAGTAAGTAAAGGCTATAATGGGAAAAAATGGGCTTTTCAGTGTTGGTCACTTCTGCCACAAGCTTTATGAGTTTGGCCAGACTAATTAACCCCTCTGAGCCTTCGTTTTGTTTGCTGTAAAAGCCGTAAGGATTTCATGAGGATAAATGGAGCAGTATTTATGAGCTAATTGTAATGCATAAAATGTCCCATCAGTTTATTTCACTTTAGGAAAATTTGCTGAGTATCTTCCATGTTTAACATCATACTAGACTTTGAAGAGTGTACAAATCTGAGCAAAGTGAGGTGTCTGCCTTCAGTGACCTTGGCCTTTGCTTAGCCAGTGGGGATAATCTGGTATCAGAAGGGTAAAAGACAAGATTGAGACTCTGTTCTCGAATTTTGGAGCTGCTGCCTTTACCAAACTCAGGGCAAAATATGTCATCTTCATTCATCTTTGCAGTTTATCCCCACGTCCTAATGGAGGAAGATATACGACAAGCATGCAGTGGACTGTATCTTCTTGGCTGCCTACTTAGAAATCTACAGTGGATAATCACTTCTCACTGATAGAAAATTAGAGGTTTCCTAAGTTGTCTTCCCTGTTGTGCCTCAGGGTTGCCCAAGGGAAGTCTCCCCAGAGCATAAATTGTCCACAGAAGGTAGCTCAAAATAGGAAAAGGCATTATTTCACCTAAGAAAAAGGAAGGCTGGCTTGTGCTTTCACTGCCCCTGCTGTCACTGTGTGGTCTTGGCAAAGTCACAGCCTCTTACTGCATGACGTGGCTACTCCAAGTTTCCTATTTATCTAAAATGTGTGAATCAAGTAAAAAAGCACAATAGCCTTCTAATGCATTATATAGTGCATTTATAAAGCATTTTGTTATGTTCATATTACTCTAAGAGGGAAATAGAAATTCTGAAGTGGTAGTTTCATAAAAGCTTAGCGTAAAAAGTGAGAATGTGTTGAGTACAGCACTAAACTCTGAGGTCACAATAACTGTAGCTAGTAAACCTGAACACTTCTGACTCTCGCCTAGAATAAGATTTTGGGCCAGGTGAACTGCTGGCCTGACCTGCACTGGTGTCCTTGTAAGTAAGAAGAACTGCTGAGGAGACGGCAGCGCGCTGGGCCTGCTCCCCTCGGGGTCACCACGAGGCTCACAGTGATGGAATGGCAGAGTGCAGTGTAAACCGGAGGTGGCTGGTTATGTTTGTGCTTTGTTCATTGAAACCATGACGATATGAATATGGGACTAGGACGCTTGGGAGACCCGTCTGTGACCCGAATCCCTCTCTCCCTTTGCTTCCCTTTCTGCAGGTGGACGGGCAGGTGGTAGCGCTGCTGGTGCAGAATCTGGAGCGCTTGGATGAGTCTGTGAGAGAGGAGGCGGACGGTGTCCACAACACTCTGGGTGAGAAAGGGCGCCTTCACTGAGTCAACATGGGAGTGTTTTCTTTTTTCTGCTCCCAAACTGCCTTTTCAGAAATGAAGACCTGTGTGTACATTTCAATAACTGCAGCTTTGGTTTGGCTTGAAGGTAATAGAGGGAGAAAACCTCTAAGTAGGTAACCTTCCAAGACAAAAACCACTGACTGGCTTCTGTTAGCAGACCTTTGCCTCCATAACTTAGGATAAAATCTATGCAGGAGCCAGCCCCCTCTTTCTTTGGAAAGTATATATTTAAAAACTTTCAATCATTTGTGTGGTGTTTCTTAGCAGTTTCCTTCAGTGGAACTACCCACTTTGAACAACTAGGTAACTTTGGAGGAAGGGCACTTTTTTTGAAAAGACAGTGTTTCTTCCCTCTTCTTTTTATGTAGTTTGCTATGTAAATTGAGTCGAAACATTGCTATTAACTTGGCTGTGCCTGGGTCCTACAATTTTTGAGTGGATTCCTTTACAGTATTTCTCCTCTTTCTTCTTCTTGAATTTCTCTAGTTTTTCCTTTTGCAAAGTCAGAAAACCAATAGTTTATTTAAAATGGTACTTTTGAGTAGCCTTCTTTATCACTAGTCACTGTCTTGTAAAACCAGAGGTGACATGTGTAAGCCGAGCTTAAGAACTGAACAAGGCCCAGCAGAAGCAGAAATTTTGATGAGATTAGATTTTCTCCTTGCTCCTTTGTGTTTACCACAGATTTCTCCTGTAGTTCTAGACTTTCTTTAGGGAGGATTATCACAAAGAAGAGAGAAGTGGGGGACCTCAGGAGAGAGAGTGGAGAAAACACAACAGGCTGTCATTTGTGAGTTGGCTCTAGTCTAGAGCCAGAAGTTGGCATTGCCATCTGTTAGCCTAATGCTGAGTTCTGCAGAAGCAAACGCCTGTCAAAAGTCTTAAATGACTATTAATTTAAAAAAAAAAAAAGATTCTGGTATAATGAAGAAAGCACCAGACTGGCAGTCTGAAGAGGTCTGTTTTCAGCTTGGACATCTACCAGCAGCTCAGGAAATTAATCCTTGCTTTCCTTATTAAGTGCCTGGTGTTTGTCAGGCACCGTGCTAAGCACCAGGGGAAATTATAATGAATCAGGCATGGCTTTGCTTTTAAGAGACAGACTGATGAGAAAGTCTAACACAAAAGGGAAACATAATACCAAGTAACAAATGGTATAATAGGAACTGGTGAAAAAAAAGTGTGAAATTGACAAGGGAGGGTCTCCAAATTGTCAGATAGGAGCGGGTACCAACTGGGGTTGAATAAGAAAGTAGGTACATTTTGATAGGTGGAGGAGTGGAGAAGGGCCAATAGGCAGGAGGGTGTCTGTTCAAATTCAGGCATGGGCGTGGACTTGGGGAAAGATTAGACATGTACTGTGACAGCAGGAGATGGGAAGACATGAGGAGGAAGTTTGTCCAGATCTTGGAAGACCTTGTAAACTGTGGCAAGAAAGTGAGAAAATCTAGAAAAAAAAGGTAACATAATATTAGAATTGGCGAAATTATCAGTGGGCACTAGGAAGACATTTAAATTTAAGCAGAAGAATAAAGTAAAGGCGTAAGAGATTAAAATCAGTGTGCTGATTTCTTAAAGAAAATGTGAGAACGTGATGGAGAGTATTGTAAAGATCTCTATCTCCGGGGGGCGCACTGCTGTTCTGCTCCCACGGCTTTGTGTTCCCGTGCACCCAGTGGCTACCCCGCTTTCACTTGCCCTTTGGGACCAACCTGGGCAAACAAGTGAGGGAGAAGATGGGAGTGTATGGATTTGTTCAACAGTTTGCTTTGAAAATTTCTGCCCAGTATATTCTGAGTATTGTGATAGTGACATATTGTAAGGAAGCAGACAGGCCTTGAAAGGAAGGAAAGCCTTTGCTGTAATAAGAACTGTGGATGTGTGTTTTCTAAAGTCCTCCGTTTGGTATTGCAGTCATCCAATAGCTTTTCTTTTTCTTTGTTCCTTCTGATTTTCAATTTTTCTATTAAACAACGCTTTGGCTGAGCAGGACCAATTATTTGCTTCCTACTTCTGGCAGCGTGACCTTTCCCCTCTTTGCACGTCATTTTGTTCAATTAAGAACCGCCCTGGCAATGTCTTTGTTTTCTCACCATGCAGAGAACAGAACTAAAAATGAGTGGATCAGAAAGGATTCCCTACCCTCTAATTTTTTCCTAGGTTTCTGCCCAGCCACCTCTCCTTAGTGAACAGGTCTTTTGGACTCTAGTACACTAGGACCTAAGCAGGCTTCCCGGCAGATGTCCATCCTTCTGTGTTCTGGTCCCCGTTGCCATAGAAGACCTATCACTTATCCCTTTCGTGAATTTCATCATCTTCAGTTTTGACTTTTACTTGTAATAGAACAAACAACAAAAGGCACAGCAACTCCCTGGGTTAATCTAAAAATGACAACATAGCATCTGGCTGGGAGGAATACAGGGCAGTGGGAAAAGGAATAAAATGCCTATCATGGGAAGCAGGTTTATTACAGATGGAAACAAAGTTGCTCTCCCCAGCCACTGTGTCTGTCTCCCTTCAGCTATTGTGGAAAACATGGCTGAGTTCCGGCCCGAGATGTGTACGGAGGCTGCCCAGCAGGGACTCCTGCAGTGGCTTCTGAAGAGGCTGAAGGTAAGTGTGGCTTTGGGGAGCTGCTGCTCAGACCTCTCAGCTCTGGGCATGGCTGCTGCCAGGTGTTTGTGTAGATCTGTCCCCCTGCTCTAGTTTGGATAGCTTCTGATACCACTTGCCCCTGTCTTTGCTTATCTTTTTTCCTCCCTCTTAAAAAGATCTCTCCAGTCTGCTTTTCAAAGGTAGCCACTATTACCAGTATTATATCTGTTTTTTTCCAGAAATTATCTGCATATGTATCATCCAGCTAGATTCATATTCTGTAGGAGAGTATTACATGTGTTTCAGAAACGGAACTATATGGTTTCTCTTAATACAGATTTTTTTCCGTGAACTAATGGTTGCCTAGTACTCCGTTGTACATATATGCCTACATCAATGTAACCATTCTCCTGTTCATAAGTTTTTGTCTGTTATAAACAATACTGCAGAAAATATTTTCATATATACACATATACTGCCCACTTGTCTTAGTTTATCTGTATGATAAATTCCTAGAAGAATCGATAGGCCAAAGGGTGTCCACCTTAGTATTTTTTGTAAGCGTTGCAAAATTGCTCCCTATTGATTTGAGGATGTCTCTTTCCTACTTTCCTAATACTGGATGTTATCAAACTGCAAGTTTTGTTAATCTGGTAAGTGAAATTTGGTCTTATTTTAATTTTTAATTTTAAAATCAAGTGTTGACGTCTAGTTGTTTATCAGCATTTTATATTCATCTCTTTTAACTTCATATTTATATCTGTTGTCCATATTTCTCTTCATTCTTTTTCTACCTTTTTTTTTTTTTGAGGCAGGGTCTCGCTGTATAGTCCAGGCTGGCCTTCAGCTCACTGTGTGGTCCAGGCTGGTCTTCAGCTCCCAGGCTAGCCTCAAATTTCTCAAACTTGTAGCAGTCCTCCTGTCTTAGTCTGCCAAGTGCCAGGACTATGGACCTGTCCTACCATGCCCAGCCTTGTTCATTCTCTTTCTAACCATAGCTTGACCATCTTTTTAACAGTTAGTGCTGCTTCATAAAGTAGTTGAAGAGGAGAAGGGCAAAACTATTCTTTTAGAACAATTTTGGCCCCAGATGTGATGTCACTGGTATATTATATTATATTATATTATATTATATTATATTATATTATATTATATTGTTTATTTGTTTTGTTTTCTTGAGACAAGATCTTGCCATGAAATTCAGGCTGGTCTTGAATTTGCAGTGATCCGCTTGCCTCATCCTCCAAGTGCTGGGATTACAGGCATGCACCATCACACCCAGCAGTCATTGGTGTAGTTTAGAAAAGTTCATCATGTGATTCTAATGGACCACCCTTACTAAGAGTCACTGGTCTCTAGAAATGTGAACCTTGTTGTTGCTCCCCATTCTTACCATGCAGACTGTTGTAAGATCCTGTTTTCCATTGCCAACCCTGTTCAAGAAGCTAATGGCCTCTACCTGGGTCACTACTTTTTTTTTTTTTTTTTTGGTACTGGGGATTGAACTCACGACCTTACTCTTGCCATGCAGGCGCTTACGTTGCTGAGCTAAATCTCCAGCCCCCAGGTCACTACTTTGAAGGCCACGTAACTTTGTCCATTCCAATTTTCATTTCTCAATTTTGAAACAACATTACTATTGTTACTTATTACCTATTCCTTGCTCTGTGAAGGTCAAAATGTTTTGACCTCTGTCAGGTTTCACCGCATGCCCCTGCCTCTAGTAGGTGTGATTTCTTTCTTCATTCTGTTTCTGAATTACACACAACCTTCTTCAGACAGCTTACCTCCCTACTCTATGTATCCGTCATCATTTTTAGAACTGAGGAAATTTGGTTCTATTGTGGATTAAAAATTAGAAGTCGAGACCTGTTAGATATTAAGTGATTTGCCCAAACCCAAACTAGAAATACGGTTGTGATTACAACCCATGCTTTCAGACTTTTCTTCCCCTACCCTTTCCATAGCACTGTTTTGATCCCTGCCTATACTGCCCTTTTCTGACAGTAAGCTCCTTCATATTTTATTACTGGTAATGGTTTTCTTGTGTGTGGATTTTGCTTCCAATGTATATCTATAACCATATGATACTCTTTTGGAGCATCTATGAAGTTGAGATAATTTCATCACTTTAGATTTTCATGTTCTATTTGCCCATTTTCTTTTGCTAAATAATCAATTTCATGAGAAGGTCTAGATGGCTATTTAATATTTGCGTCTCCTTCAGTTCTCAAAAAAATAGTTTCCAGCCAGGAGCCTCAAGACCACCTGTCACCCTGTTAGAAATGCTCCACCCCCATATTCAAAACTGGGGTAGAGCTCAGCAGTTTGTATTTTAATAAGCCATCGTGATTCTGACATGAGTTAAAATCTGAAAAGTAAGGTTCTAGAGTGCTTAGGTTTTAGATTGCTGGATAAAACCTTGCTATTTGGCTGATCATCCTCTATTCAATAATCCTTGAGTAATTGTTAAGGGAATGGCATGTTGGTGACAGATGTTTTAGTCTTGAATTTCTTTACTCTGTACTAGTAGCTTAGCAGTACACAGAGATATTCATGGATTTTTTTCATCTGCCAGATGAAACCTTACTAATTTGTTGTAATGAGGATAAAACCCACTGCAGACGATTGCACTAAATGGATTAGAATGTAAACAGAAAGCTAACTGGTGAAAAAGACACTGCATCATGTTTCACTTTAAAAGGGGAGATACAAACTATGCTATTGAAAATAACACCAAAGCCAGAAGTTTTATTTTTCTTTTCTAAAGAAGATTCCCATTCATTTTCCAGTTAAACCAATGTTTCAAAAACAGTTACAGCATTCAGCACGATTTAATGAATTGGGAATTGGCTAAGTTTTACTATATGTACAACTGATTGATGCAAAAGTGCTTAGCACCTGATGACCAGAAGCTGAAATTCTGCAGGACCAAATCTGCTCTGACAGTTGCATAGGCCATTGGTGTGTCTCACCCTGCTCCATGTATTCCAGGTACCAGAGGTGAGCTGCAGCTATAACCTACAGCTTTTTGGCTGCAGGTGGTAGCATAATTGCTTTGTGCTTTCCAAAAAATCAGCAGCTCCTAAAAAGGTGAAGTTTAATTTTATTCAAGGGTAATACATGCTAAGTACAAACCTATGCTTGACTCTGTAATTACTGTGACAGCTGAAAGATTTAGGATCACCAGGCTTTTGGAAAGAAGAGAGCACTATAAGCTCCAAGCCCCCCTAGTTAACTGAAGCCAAGAAAGAGGCTCTGTTTACTAAGGGAATTCTCCTTGCATCTGATTTTGATGAAATGGCCTCATAATTTGGCAGTTTTGTATTTTGTAATCTCTGGCTAAGATTTAAACAAAAATGGAATTTCCATGGTAAGTTTTGTCCTTGGCTAGACATAAAAGATTAGTTTCCTTCCTACCTGGCCTAGTTTCTTTTATTTCTTTTCCACCAGATTAAAATATTTGGTTTTCATTATTATCTTCAGTATAAGTTTTCCCCATTTTAAACAAGTTTCATATATTAACTGGCTATATAAAATGGTTTTCTAGATACATAAGTATATTTATATAATTTATACAACCTCCCTACCATGCCGTTATTGTGCAGTTATCCCCAGTGCTGCTGCTCCAGCACCTGAACAAGCAGTCATTCCTCCTGTGCCCAGAGCCTTAAAAAAGAGTCCTAGAGAAGGGAAACACCTCTTCCAAACCCTGTTGTTTAGGCACAGAGGTTAGACCTGGGTTTCTCCAAAGCTATCTCCTCTTGCCAAGCTACTTCCCAGTGATTAGGTTCTGAGGTTTCACAGAGCTCAGTGTTGGGAGTTGTAGGGTCTGATTATTTCGATTTCCTGATTAGATCTCTCCTGCATGCCAGTTTTTCAATTTAAGCTCTTTTAAGAAAAAAAATGACAAAATTCTTATTTTGACTTTTAAAATTTGACTTTGGGTAAATAGTTTCCAGTGTATCCAGAGTCTAAAGATTTCCTGGGGAACAAGGAATCCTCAGGAGAGGTGAATCTCACGTTGCATACCTGTTATGTACATACCACTTTATTTAATGCAACCACTTCATGATGAGGCTATTACAAATCAAAGAAATTAGGAGAGAGAGGCAGAGTGTTTGGCCAGGATCACATCACTAGGATTCTAACTGGGCTATTTCTGATTCCGGTCATTAAAAATCTCGTAGTGTGTACTATATGTAAGTTCATATTATTATTATTATTTTTTTTTTTTCCCGTATGAGGGATTGAACTCACGACCTTGCGCTTGCCAGGCAGGTACCTACACCACTGAGCTAAATCCCAAGCCCCTAAGTTCACGTTATTACTTAACTGTCTTTCTTGACTCTTTGAAGAAGTATTATTTTTTAATTTCCATTTTACAAATGAGGAAACAGACCAAAAAAAAAAATGTTACCTAGGTTATGGAATCCAGTTATCAGTTCATGGTACTCTTATTATCTCAGTAATTTTGTTTCTACAGCACCCCCATGTTAAAAAGTACCTAGTAGTCATGTTTATTAAGTAGTTTCAAATAATTTAGCATGTATATATGTCCTAACAATTGCGTAGCTCTTTGAAAAAAAAAAAAAACACATGTAAATGAAAAGAAAACATTTTTATTTCATTCTTAATTATGGGTGCCTTTTTGGTGCTATTCAACTTCCCAAACATTGGCATCAGGCAGAACACCATCATCCTCACTCCTAATCCACATTGCTTTTCACACATTTTAAAGAATCACAGCCACTCCCCAACTTAGCTCTACAAAAGTATGGGGTCATCAAAAGAAATGTACTGAGTGTGCAGCTAGTGCAGTGCTCAGTAGATGCTGAGTATCATGTTTTCCTTAAAAATTTAAAAATATCCTTAGGTGAATTTATCATGGCACCCTGGCAACCTCAGTACAGACTTTGGGAGTTATAGCCTTTGTGCACATGTTCGTGAGTCCAACTGCAGTGTGTCCCAGATCTATGTCCTTTTTAATATGTATTCTTTTAAACTGGACTCTACCACTAAACACATTTAATTCGAATTCAGTATGATACTTGCAAATGTTGTAGACAAGGTTCAAGGTCTAAGTCACCTCTGTTTGTCCTACTTGATTCTGTGTCTTGGACATAGCAGGTATTTAGTAAGCACTGAGAGGAAAAGAAAATTTACCCCCTGACTTGGAGATGTTTATAAAATCAGATAAAGGACAAGAAAGGAACCACAGAAAAGCTATTGTTCTAGAATTCTAATTTTTTCAGGCTTCTTTCAATTAAATATGTCTTGTTTTAAAGGAGAAATTTGGCCCTTGAAAAGCAGCATCTAAGTTGGTGTCGATAAAATAACTTATATATAACAATAATCCTGGAGACTTAAGTACTTTGAATGGGTAATTTTTTCAGCCAGTGCTTGATTCTGATAGAGATGCTTACCTTTTGGCATTTCAGCTTTGTGTTTCAATGCTTTTAAAACTATTTTCCTTAAACATACCACAGATTGCATTTAAGCCTCAGCTGTTGTACAGATTTCTTGGAAAGAGGCCTCAAGCTTGCCCGGGAGCGTACTGTGCACGTTAAGACCTTGCACTTATACACCTTTTAAGTTAAGGTGGGTCAGACCTGGTCGACCACCTGCAATCCCATGCACTTAGGTTTGCTGAGGAAGCCACGCACAGAAAACTGCAGTGGTGTTGGATGTTGCTTATAAGACTCTGCTCTTTCTTCTTACGTACAAAATCAGTGTCCAAACAGAACTGTGAATGGCACAAAGGTGATGGAAGTGTTACTCCAAGATAAACACTTCCCCAGTCCTTTGCAAGTAAGGAAATTATTTGTCATTTGAAAACCCTAGACAGGTAGATGAGACTGCTGCAGATTAGCAGTTGTTGTCTGTACGCCTGCCTCTTAAGGATCATGCGTGCTCTACACATCTAAAGGCTTATAAAGGGCATTGCTTCTGGTGAGAAATTTAAGTCTCACCACCGCTGAAGCAACAGTGTGGACAGCCATGAAAGATAGTCTGTGCAGTAGATGTGTCCCCTCTGAATCTCCAAGTAGAGCACGCAGCAGGGTAAGAATTGTGGGTAGTAATTTGGGTGTTAAAATATTAACACATTTTTACATATTTAATGTGGTTTCCTTTTTAAATAGTAGGCAGATTATGGCTTACAAGCAGATAGGTTTATGACTTCAAATTAAATTTTAACTATAAAAAAACCCGAAAGGAACTTCTTTGTTATAAATGCATTGAGCTTATCTGACAAGAAATTGCATTCTTTTCTGTTTCTCTGATTGTGTATCAGCTAATGTACATACTTATTTTGTGGTTTTAACTTGTGAAGGAAGCTTCATGAGTTTCAGTCTTAAGAGTTCAAAACTTTCTGTTGTTTATCTTAGACACATATAATCCCTGGACTCAAAATGAGGAGTCAGGGAGTACTTCCTGGAGGAGGTGTTCCTCATATTTGGGTATTAGGAATGGGAGAGCTGTTGTGTCCATCTGTCTTTACTGTGCTGGACTTGGAACTAGTCCTTTGAAAGCAGGGGCAGTTTTTTGGTTTTTTTTTTCTTCCCCCTTTTACCTCCCTTTTCCCTGACTTCCGCTTCTCTCTGACTTGTGAAAAATTTGTCCTGGCCAAAGAAGCAAGACCCTTTAACGGTTTTCTCATTTCTCCTATTTCTGCACAGGCGAAGATGCCTTTCGATGCCAACAAACTGTATTGCAGTGAAGTGCTGGCCATCCTGCTCCAGGACAATGACGGTGAGGCTCCCTCTCAGTATTGATATTCTGTTAGGATAGGAGCCAGGCTTGTTTCAGATCATGACAGCAAGCTCTCTTGCCTTTGGCATCCCCTTGCTTCCCCTCTCGCTCTCTGTGCAGCTTTTGTACTCTGTCAAGCTGTATTGATTTTGTTTGCTGATGTATCAGTGTTAGACGGCTGTAAAATCTGACAGTTAGCTTCATTTTTTTTTCTCCCTCTATTTTTTTCCCCTTTTAGAAAACAGGGAATTGCTTGGGGAGCTGGATGGAATCGATGTGCTTCTTCAGCAGTTATCCGTGAGTAATTCTTATGCTTCTTGTCTGCCATGAAGATACATGGCCTGCTTTAAATGGGAGGTGGGGCTGGAGATTGTGGGAAGGGACAAGTCGTGTGATGTCGACCACATGGAGCATGTGGGCAGCTGGAGGTTACATTGGAGGCACGTGGTTTGTTAGTCATTGGCTCTTTCTGACCACATATCACTGTGAACCTAACGTGGTCCAACCTTTCCTCATCTTCTCATACTTGATTGCCAGTCTAAAAGAGATACCCTATCTGCTTAAATGTGTGCTCTTGGGCCAGAAATACTGGATTGCTTTCATTTGACCTCCTCCCAAGATTACTTACCTTTCCTTTCGGTCTGCCCCTAACGTGGAGTCTGTTCATTTAGGATACAGAGACACTCAAAGAGTATAATGTCTGGTGCAGTGGGATAAAGGTAACACAGTGCAGTAGAGAAGGACATGGTGTTGGAGGCTGGAATGAGAGATTGAAAACTGCCATTTGCTCACTGAAAGAGATGTAAATTCAGTTGAAATGTTATTCTGCTGGCATTCTGAAAATACTGTTAAGATTTCTTCTAACAAATTTCATCTGTGTTATTCTAAAAACAGGACTGAAAATAGATCATTTGGATAAAATCTTAAAAGAGTGTTGGGAGTGCCTGAGTTGTCAGTTTGCATACAGCTTCCATCTTGGTGCCAGCAGCCTGAGTGGCTTGGCCTGCACCCCAAAAATAGGGCTTTGAAATGTGAATCTGTTTCCAATTCTGGGAAGATGCTTAGTCCTTTTCCTGCGAGATTATTGATCATCTCACAGTAGATTGTATGGGTATGCATATGCTGTTAAAAGACTTTCTTCCTAACGTGCCATACGTCTCTGGCAAAGACAAAACTACTTTAAACCCTTCCTTTGACTTTGAGCCCCATCTACTGTGTAAGACAAGTCAGCAGTCCTGTTTCTAGGATACTCTTCCTGTAGTAGGCCAACATTTACCACCTCTAGATTGTGGTTATTTTTAGGAGAAAAAGTCAGTCTGGTTAAATTGTACAAGCGGTAGGCTTGGGGGAAGTGGACAGAGTTCTTTCTTTTTTTTTTTTTTTTTTTTTTTTTTTGTTTGTTTTTGTACCGGGGATCAAACTCATGACCTCACACCTGCCAGGCAGGCACTTATACTGCTGAGCTAAATCCCCAGCCCCAGAGTTCTTTCTTGATAGAATAGTAGTTTTGGATTACTTTGTTCATTTAACGATTTATGTCCTTTGTGGAGTTGAATGTATATTTCATGTAAGAGGCTTTTGTTTTTTAAACCTGCCTCTTTGGAACTGTCAATCACTCCTGGACTCAGTAATCAGCCGAGTAATCAGTAATCAGTGTTTTTGCATGAACTGGTATCGATTTATTTAATAGCTGTGAATCTAAAAGCTCAGCGTCTCTAAAATGGAAACTAATGAAAATTATGTCTAGTAAACTTGTGTTTTCTCAATTGTAGGGTTATTATGACAGGCAGGCTATGGAAATGGTCTAGTGTTGGTTGATAAAAGGACGTTCTTTTATGGCTCTGTGCTTTCTGCCGTCTTTGCTTGACAGGTGTTTAAAAGGCACAATCCTAGCACAGCCGAGGAACAGGAAATGATGGAGAATTTGTTTGATTCACTTTGTTCTTGCTTGATGCTCAGTTCTAATCGTGAGCGCTTCCTAAAGGGTGAAGGCCTTCAACTGATGAATCTCATGCTCAGGTAGGTTTCTGAATTCCTAACTCTTCCATCTTTTTTTGCCTAGTACCTTACTGTTGAATTTAATAGCCTGTAGCTCTGGTCATTTTTTCCCTTAAGTTTCCCATACATAGAGAACAGTCGTTATTGTGTGTGTGTGTGTGTGTGTGTGTGTGTGTGTGTGTGTGTGTGTGCTTTGGGATGTATATTTGGTCTTTTCCAAAGTTAGACTAGATGAATAAAAGTGTATTGCATTTTGGTCCGCTTGTGCCCCATTCTCCCAATTCATAATATGATTGCATTGAAGGATAATACCTTCTATGTCTTCCCTTAGTGTTTGGTTTGGGCAAAATCGAGACATTAAGTTCTAGACTTAATCATTTGTTCGTCTCTGAACTTGATCGTGTTTTCTGCATATCCCACATAAACCTATTATGCCATGTTTGTCTGTTTTTGTTACTGACAGCAAAATATCGTATTTTTCACTTACATATTCAGTAACACATTGTGTATGCGTGCTTTTGTGCCTTCACATAGGAAATATGATAATGTCCAGGATACTTCTAGAACTTTTATATAAAGTACTTTTCTTATATATCTTACTGTTATATTCTTAGTTCCTTGACGTGGGCATTATGATAGTTTTTTAGTTATTTCACAGAATCTCAAAGTTGAAAACAAAAGAAGATAACTAGTATTGATGTTTTTGAGAAATCTGGGTAGGAAGACTAGAGTAGGTGTGGTAACTAGGATGTAATATAGGGTCAAGGGACAGTTTTTGAATCTGAGAGACACCAGAGCATGTTTGCCTAGCTAGAATACTGTAATCATTATGAAATTTTTCTTTATGAAATCTCCACATTCTGCCATTTTGAAACTCCTGTTCACATACGTTCAAAACTTTGTTGAACTAAGATATTTCTTTGACTATAATGTAGACTGTAGACCTGTGGACTTGCTCATAAGGCTCTGATAAGAAACTATGTTAAGTCTCAAGCCTACACAGAATAAATAAGACAGAATTTCTGCTTCTAGAAGCTGGAAAAACCCAGCAGTCTGTCACTCAGTCTATCACTCAAACACCGTCCGTCTATTCTTTTTTCTATCATTATTTTCTTGTTTTTAATAACTTTTAAGATGTGCTATGCATCTAATTATCTGTATTTTTAAGCTTGACATGCAGTTTCCCATACTGTGGCATAATCTTTTTGAGAGTTTTCAGTGACTACCTAGCAGACTGTAAGGGACATAGCTTACTTAGTATTCTTCTATTGATGGTGTTAGGATTATTTTCAATGTTTTACTATCATAACCAATTCAACAATGAATATTTTTATGTTTAAAATGATTTTTAGGATTATCAGACTAACTGTTGCTAGAATTTCTTCTCTTTAAGAAGGTTTGTGTGAGGCTGGGCAATCTCTTTTGTCCAGTGTTTAACAGACCTTGGGTTGATTGAAAACCTTCTTTTGAGAAATTGCCATTAAAAACAAATTCTTTTTTTAAAATGCAGAGAGAGCTATGGCAAATTACTCAGAAGCCTTTACTGTTCGGCTGACTCCTGCCAGCTTTACTCTCTTGAGTGTTTTGTTTGTTTCTTTTGCTTTACCTTTCTAATTGCCTGTCCTTTTGTTGAAATGACCCACTTTCTCTTAAACAAATAACATGTAAAGAAGATGTATTTGACTTTTTGGGTCTTCTAACCTTAAAACTACACTCTGCGGGGACTTTTTCCTAAGCTTCCTAAAGGTCGGAACTGCCAATGACTTTAGATGGTTGAGTGCAAATATGAAGTGATATATTCTCAAGCATATGGCTTGGTAATGTGTAGCAGTGGGGAGCTGAATAAATAACCAGAGATATGGATTATTCAAATGGGAATGCTGAGATTCTGGGAGGCTAATTAAGGAAGAGCTACAAAAGATTTGGAAACTGTATACTTCCTTAGGATTGCCTCACTTTTCATCTTTGAATACTGAAGTTGCTATTAGATTCTTTCTTTTGCATTAATTAGCCATATTAGCAGAGTCAGCATTTCCTTTTGTCTCTTTCCTGTGCTCGTTGTTCTGCATTGTTTTCTTCTTCAGACTCCCAAATGGAACATTTAATTGGAAGGAGCTTTTTTTCCTACTGTGTACTCTTCCTGATCTAGTAAGAGCTGCCAAGTTGTTCTGTTTAAAGAGAACCTATTCAAAATTTGGAAGCACCGAAGGTCAAGAAAATTTCTATGGTTCCATATCCCCTAAAGGTGCATTTTTACTTTGTCATTCTTCAGTTATGAAATTCCACTTGGAGTGGTGACAGTGTGGTGTAGAATGGAATAATGGCTTTGGAGTTGAGGAAAATGTGGGTTTCCAACATAGATGTCTTACTCACTAGCTCTGGATATTTGAGAAATTAACTTCTTTGATCCTCTGACCGTCTTTATTCATGGAAAAATTGGAGCAATAATGGTAAATTTGTGGAGATGTTGAAGAAATTAGACTGAATAAACTGGGACAGTTTAGTAGCTATTGAAACATTGGGAGGATACCTTGTTAACTTTTTATGTTTGTCTTAGGAATGTCAAAGGCTAGTGAGGGCATGGATGTTAAATACCTGTAATAAAATTTAATGTGGTGATAAGTATTAAGAGGAACAGGTTAATTTGTATGTGTATACCAAGAGAATTTTTTCACTTATGGTTCTTAATAAGGAAAACTCACAAACCAGATAACATCGATACATACATTCAGTCTCTTACATGCACATGTGCACACACATATATAAGTCCCCATACCAATATAAATAACTTATTTAAATTGAATAAAATACATCCACTTTAAGTTTACAGTTATAATTTTAACACATTTATACCTTTATTTCCATGCTACAATAAAGATGGAACAGTGCTGTCTAGTGGAAATTTGATGGAAGCAAGATATGTAATTTATATTTTGTAATAGTCATGTTAAAATGGTTAAAAGAAGCAAAATTAATTTTAATAATTTGTCAGTGTGACCCAATATATCAATTTATCATTTTAGTACATAATCAATATTAAAGATTATTAAACATTTTACTTTTTTATACTGTCTTTGAAATTTAATGTGTATCTTACAATTAATTACATTTGAATTTAGATGTTAGATTTTCATCAAAGTACTTGGTTTATGCTTTAGTTGCATAATTTTTCTTTTCATGCTTAGTAATATTCCATTGTGTCCATCTCTATATTCCAGTATATCAGCGTGTTTATTACCTGTTGATAAACGCTTGTGTTCTTTCCAGTATTTTATGATAATGAGTTAAAAGCTCTTTGGCCTTGAACATGAGAAGTTTTTACTAGTAGTTCGTGGACATTTGAATTTGTTTCAGAAGTATAAACTGCTGCAATTATTTCTAAAATCAACTTTGTTAATACATTCAGCTCTGTTGTAATCTTTTTTTCATTTCTATTTTGTTCAATCTCTTGCCATAGTTGTGGGTTTTTTTCCCATTTTCTCTTGGCTTGTTATAGTCTATGTGTGTGGTCAGCAAATAAATGCTGATTTATCTTGATCTTGGATCTTATATTTTGCATTGTTAGCCTCTTTGCTGCACATAGTTAACTTGTCTAATTTTGTATCTTATTCCTTCTTATCATTTTATTTTTCATATCTTAGGTTGTTTTGTGTTGCATGTGATTAGTATTTTAGTCCAATATGAGGATTTGTCTTTAGATTAACTTAAATCTTTTTTTTAAATCGTAATGACTGTTATGCTGACCTTTTCCTGTCTTATTCTTATGGTTTCCCTATTGGTTTTATTTTGTCTTGTCTTCTTTCTCTGTTTTTCTTCTCTGAAGATTCTTCCTGTTTCTTCTGTTAATGTTTACCTTGACTTTCTAAAGTAAACATGGCCTATTTCTTTGCCTGTGCAGTTTTGCGGTGGTAGGAAGTACCCTGTTGCCATCTCTTCTCTTTCTTCCTTCTCCAGGATTCACATTCTACTCTTTACCAGATGAGATTGCTTAACATATTTCCTTATTTTCTGTAAGTGACTGTCCCTGGATATCAGCTTTAAACTGCTCTGAACAGCCTTCGGCTTCTGTGTCACTTTTCTGGACTCCGTCCTCAGCCTTAAGTTTTGGTTGAATTCTAGCATCTTTTGCTTAGGTCTGTGGAGCACTTATACTCTAGATGCCCAGTACTTGTTTTTCTACATCTGAGAACAGAGACCAGCTCTCTCTCTCTATCCAGTGCCTAGCAACAGATACACATTTGGCTCTCAGTAAATCTTTTCTAAATGAATGACCAAAATCTGAGAAATTATTTTGCTGTTCAGAATCACTGACTCATAGAATTTCTGGCAAATGCGTACATAGGTCCAGAGGAACAGGAATGACTTATTAAAGCCATGGAGCTGAGAACTTAATCTCTTGCCTGAAGATACTTAATCCTCTTTTTCCCTGTGCCATTTTTTAGTACATGAAAAGCACAGAACAGGCTGGAGGGCGGTTGTTACCCTGATCTTCAAGCTTCAGGGGAGGTCTGGATAGGAGGCTGCCGTAGTGCAGGCGTTGCTGCCTGTTTGGCTTGTGTCAGCACAAGTGTCCACACTCAGTTTTGTCCCTTTGGCTCACTGGACCCTCTCCCATTTATCTTCATTATCTTGGGTGCTGCAGGGTAATGGTTTGAGTGTCCCCTTCTTAGACCCCTTCTAGTTCGAGGTTCTGTGAAGGCCTCTGTGCAGATTCGTGTCTCTGAGCTTTTGTTTCTGAGGCTGAGCGCCAGCGCCTCTCTCCTGCCCACGCAAACCTTTCTTCTCACTCGTCCTGCCACTCAGGAATGAGTTGAGTCTCAGGTGACTTTCTCATTCCTGTGTTGAGGGTATGGATTTCACAGTGCTTGACAGAATCAATAAGGAAAAAAAAAAACATTTTTTTTCTTTTGTCTTTCTCTCTGCTAAAGAAGAAATGAAGATATCTTGTGGGAAAGAAGGATGATTGAGGTGATATTTAAAAGTGAAACTCATGCTGTGAAAAAAGCATCAGGTGACCGTCA